GATGACATGGTGACCCATGTGCAGCTTTGGCTTGCGAACTAATAGTAATCCGGTTTTGTGCGGGTTGAATGAAATTATGCCAGCAAGGCCAGCTTGATCAGGGTGTTGTCTGCTCATAACTCAGGTGCTTAGCTGAAAAGTTTGACAATAATGCATCTCACTCATCAAATTCAAATTTTAGCATGCACAAACTGCTGTGTAATTTAATTTTGGTTTCAGATTATATACGTTCCAAGATATTTTTGAGTAATGTGATCCCAAGCTCAAGTATATGGGTGGAGCTAATTAATAATAATCTGTTGGCAAAAGGACTGAACAATTATTCACAGGAAGTTGACAAACTAGAGAAGAATCAATCAATGAAGCGTTTTCTGTAAAAATTGATGAATAAATAGTTTGTTAATCAAATCGATTGCTAAGTTAATTGTCTACATTATTATTTTTATTATTATTATATTGAAAGAAACACCTTCATATATGTAAATTGCAATCATATTCTTCTCGGAGGAACTAGGCAGGGGGTGAGGTTTTTAGAGTACATATTTATTTGGATAATTAGTAAAATAATGTTGCCGGTTAACCAATCAACCTTGACATCCAAACAAATTAGAACAAGGAGCATTAATGAAAACTTAATTGATCAATTAACCACTTCCAAGTAAATAAGACGTATTATGATGCTGATGATGAAATCAATGCATAGATTAACAAGGTGGCTAATAACATATGTCCAGAATTAAAATACCACGAATAATGAGGATTAGACTTGCAAAAGGCGGCCTAGCTATAGTTTCGCTCCAGGTCATCAAATAAAAAACGAACACATTTATAAGATTCAAAGAAGGAGAGCTGTGACCAAAAAATAGTAGCTCACTTGGCGTAAAAAACTGAGCAGATGAGATGAGAGCATATATATTCGATTATTTTCGATATTGTCTTTATCTTTGAGAAGAATTTAAAACTTTAATCTCAAAACTTGTCCTGAATTGAATTAGTCATAAAGCAATGAATTGATTGAGGGATGTGTTAAAAATATGGTATGGAGATGTTGTAATTCTGATTGGTTCGAATTTGATTAGTGAAATAATTGATGAATTGATCATTACATTAAAAAAATAAAATAAGACGCGGGCAGCCAGGATGTAAAAGTGAAGTCAACCAAGAAAACTAAAGCAAAGCACTTGCCATAACATTAATTGCATATGTACTACAATGTATGTAAAAGGAACAGAGGCACACCATCCTGTGTGCATGCGGTTTGATATTCTCTCATAGGCCAAAGCCAAAGTCAAAACTCAAGATGATTGATGGCAGCAGGCCAACCGAGTCAACTCATTTTTCAGAGCCATTGACAACTCACTTGGCAATCTTAACTGTGTTTGAACTTTTAATTACGGTCAATAAAATAACTTCCAAAATGTTGTTGGTCGTACTTGTTCCATAACTGAAATAAACATAAAAAGGGAAAAGCAAAGAAGTATCCCATGTTCCCAATAATTGGAAACATGCAGTGGAAAAAGTAGGCGTGAAGATTAAGAGAGTGATGCGGTGCTTCATGGGCTGTACTACCATGTCCATGAGAACCTTCTCTTTTTTTCCATAATTTATTTTGGGTATTTTCAAACCTACCCATTAAGTCAGCCTTTGCCCTTTGAATAGTGAATAATAGTGGCACGGAAAAAAGAAAAGCTCTTTCTCACACCTACCTAGTTTGCTTGCTCTGTTTATTCTTTTTGTTTACGGGAAAGAAAGATACTCTCCCTCTTAAAGCCATCGCCACTACCACCAATGACGGATCGATGGAGCTTGAAGTATAGGGGTGTTGAAAAAGAGAAACTTGAATTCAAAGTCAAGCATCCGTTTCAATATTTGATTAAGTAAACATTCTGCTGGCCAATCCATGACATGATAGTAATGCACTTGTGCCCTGCCCTGCATGGTTCAGAATTCAGATGAGAATATTTTTCCAAAAGCAAAAGTAAAACGTAATACATACAGATTAATTAGTGCGCTATGTTTCAAACTTTCAATTCATAATATGTATGGCGTTTGCTAATTGCTAATATATATATTGCAGATACTTCAGTCGGCAGCAATTCAAACGTGCAAGTTCATTTTTCGGCTACAATCCAACTATTACTCCAGACTATTCCTTTTATTTTATTTTAAATCCCATTTCTATTCCTTTTTCACCATTACTCCAGCTGAATTATACGATCGAGTGTGGAATTTGTGAATCCATATTGTGAAACATGGGCACATTGATGCTTTACTGTGGTTGATTTATAAAAGCCCATCAACCATTCTTGTCAATGCACCATCATATACTATCTATATGTCCACGTTAAGGACATTTACAGTTCACAAAGCCTTCTTGGGTTTAATGTCTTTTATGTTATAGAAGATAAAATTATCTTCTTCACACATATAAAAATATGTGAGACCCGTATTTTCTCTTTATTTCTCTTCCTCTCATATAATCCCATATACTTTTTTGTACATATAGAGAAGATAAAATTCAAACCGTTTGTTTTTATTTGGTTGTATTTTTGTTGGGTGATGTCTTTTATTGGCCCAGCACATGTAAGCTTCGGTCATAAGATGGATCATTGTAGCACGTGAATGCCTTCATAGCTCATCCCTCTAATGTCCAAAAAACACATAAAACTATTGGAGGCTCACCTTCTTGTTTTTTACGAAGCCCAAGTCCTGGCACCCTCATTTCTCTTCTGGTTATCCGTTCTCGATTTGGAAAAACTACTAACTAGAAAGCTGGTCCATGAATCATGATTCGTTAACGTGTACTTATACATACATCAATTTATTTCATTTTTCTTAATTAACTGTTAAATATATTCAACTAGAAATTTACTTATATTTAATCATTAATTTAAAAGGCGCGAGAATTGTGATTAACTGTGGGTAGCTAAGTATTTAAATATAAGTAAGATTAAATAAATTTGGTAGTTGTATAATAAAATTGATATAAGTTTATACGTGTGTGAGTGTATGTGAGCAAGATTATTATAAATAATTTTCAACGCACCCCGGTTTATATATTAAAATTTAATTTTAAATTCAGTCAAATATAATAATTTCGTCTAATAATATGTTTTTCTGCTTTCTTGCACTGTGTTCATAAGGGGATGATATTTTAATAAATTCTATCGTTTCACTTGTAAAAAAAGTTAGTATTGCTAAAAGCATAATTTTATCATTTTATCAGTAATTGTATGTCTATATTTACAAATAAAAAAGTACGAGAATGATATTAGATTTATCAAGATATTTAACCTACAATGAAAACTTTAACATACTTAATTTTAAATAAGTTGTATCTTTTTTATAAATAATTTGGAAGAAAATATTTTATTTCATAAACTTTTTATTATAAAAAGCAAAATTTCTTTTTAGTGTCTTAAACATATCAAAATGAAAAAAAAAAAAAAAAAAACTCTAACAGTGTTATATTTTTTATTTTTTGGTGCTTTAGGTCTCATCTAGTCCTTCAACTCAGGAGATGACATTGGACAAAAAAGAATTTTTTTTAATAATTATATGATTTTAATTGATCCGACCATTGAGTTAATGGTGATTGGGACCGAAATTCTTCTCTCCTCTAGAGAATTCGAGCAACGTAATTATAACTCCAAATGTTATGAGGAACCGTGAAGATTGGTTATTTATAATCATTACCAACGTGGTTTCGCTATTGTAGGAAATCATAACAATCCCGCACCTTTACTGACGTGGGCTATCTCTGTTGTGCATATATAATTACAAGAGCGTGTTAGGGTTTATCATATTTGTTCTCACATTCCACGTTTTCCTAATAGCTTGGGCCAAATTGGAAGCTGAAATATAATAACTGTAGCTATACAAGTCAATTCCATACTTGGATTGCGACATGGGTTGTTTATTTAAATTTTTATAAAAGTCGGAGCCGAAGGGCGAAGGCCCAAAAACAGGGGGAAATTGCAAGGAATTAAAGCTGGGATTAGAGACTTCCATGGTTTTATGACGTCTGTTGATTTAAATTTTGCGCCACGCAAAAATCAATTTCACCAATATGAAATTATTGAGTTGACCCCTTATGTCTTTAGTTTTATTCAAGCATACTCTCAAGCCCAAAAAAAAAAATATATATTCTCTCTTTTTCCCAGTAGGAACTACTAATACATGAGGAAAACAAATCAACAAGTAATTGACCAACGTAATCTAAGTATGGGTTTGAATATTATAAGTAACGATGTATAGAAATAATGCATGAGAAACTCCCAACCAAAAGGGGAAAAAAAGCAATGGTAAGAAAAAGTATTGATATCTGATAAGAGATTATTTTAACTTAAGAGTGGTTTCGAGTTTAAGAAGTTGTATTAAAAATTTGATAAAGATTGTTTTGCCGCCCTTTGGTCCTTTTACTTGGCTCGATCGGATTAATTGATTAATAAATGAACCAGTTGACAAATCTTAAAAAAAAAAAAAAAAGTATTAATATGTAGGGAGAAGAAGCAAGACAAGACCCATGTAAGTTATTCTTGGAGTAAGTTGCCGGCACAGTCATATTAAAAGGGAGGAAAAAGCGAAAAAGAAATAAACAAAAACAGATAGTGATGGTCATGGATGTAAGCCCAATCTTATTACCAATCTCGTACAAATGATAAAAAGGAGGAGCTACAATTACAATTACGTTTCCTTAATCTCCTCTCACAAATTGCAATGAAACCTATTATGTTATTTGACTATGATAGATGAATCAATCTAACATGTCTTGTCTTTAAGCCATAAATATCAACAATTTGCGCTTTGAATAGATGGTTCCTTTGAACAAATGCATGTAGTTGAAAGTTATAAAATTTCAAATCTTCCTGGCATACTAATATATACTTTGCTCCCTTAGATGTTGTTTATCAGAACCTCCACGTTGGTTTTGGGGCAGGAAAAGGTAGGGACACAGAGGCCATGAACTTGAGTAAAAGGCACATAGATATTCCCCCACCTTGGATTAAAAATTCAGGACTTGATAATCCCAAGTGTTGCTGCTTGAAGTGATACGGAGTGTTTAACATCGCCAATGTGAAGACTGTGATCCCCCATTGGGATTCTCCTAATCCCAGACCTGTCCACTACACTTAGGAGCTTGCAGACATGAATATTGACTCTGACTCTCTGCTGAGCCTTTGCAGGAACATGAACTTTCTCAAAAGCCACCAGTTGCTTCTGTAGTCCCCATTGGCCACCCCCTGCAGGCGGAGCAGAGAACACTAACAATGTGTGAGTGCCGTCTTTGGAGCCCACATTTTTAACGTCTACCTGAAGGGTTATGGAGAGCTTTCCACATCGTGCATGTGTCACTCTAATTGCCTTGTTTGAAAAGTTGGTGCTATTGGTACGGCGGTGGCCATTCAAGGGAACTGACACCACTGTGGGCGCAGTAGCTAATGTATGAACAAAATGGGTGTAAGTTAATCCGTGTCCAAATGGATACACCACTGGACCCTTATAGAATCGATACGTTCTTCCTGGGTACCCTGCTGCTGATCCGCTTGGTCGCATTGCCATATTTGTCATTGGCAGGTTTTTTAGGTACTCTTGTGGGTACCATGTCACAGGTAGTTTCCCTCCTGATAGTAAAACATACTAATGCATCGTATTAATTTATCTTATGAGACCATTTAGGAGTTGAGAAGAAGTGGGAAATTTAATGATAAAGAGACAAACCTGGGTTTGTGGTTCCAAACAGTATATCTGCAATGGCAGCACCACCTTCTTGGCCCGGATAACCAGCCCACAAGATGCCAACAACTCGATTATTATTCTTTGCAAACGTAATATCCATAGGCCCACCAGACATCAAGACCAAAATAGTTGGTCCCCTTGAGGAAGCTGCCACCTTTGAAACAAGATCTTGTTGACGCCCAGGTAAAAGCAAGCCAACCCTGTCCACAGTTTCAGCTTCGATAGATTGGTCCAACCCCATCACTAGAATGGTTGCATCTGCTTGACGGGCTGCATCTACAGCAGGCCCAAAATCCTTGTCATCAGCACAAGCTACATTTTCACAGCCCCGCTGATGAATAATCCTGGCATATCTTCCTATTCCTTGTAATGGGGTGGTATATCCACAAGCAATACCTACAAGCAAGTAAAGAGACAATTAGAGGCCGTTTTTTTTTTGTTTTTTTTTTATAACAAGAGGCCGTTTTTAGTCATAAAGAAAGAACTTCAAGTATACAATTTGTTTGAACATGGGGCTTCCTTACCTGCATAGTTTCCAATCATTGTAACAGTGACATCAGAATTGGGCCCAATAACAGCCACGGTGCGGTGACGCTGTGGGGAGAGAGGCAAATTGGGACCACTGTTCTTAAGGAGCACTATTCCTTGTCTGGCAGCTTCAAGGGCGAGCTCTTTGTGAGCCGGTTTGCATACATCTCTTGGACCCAAGTTGCCATATGCATGAGCTGATGGTTCTCCATCAAACATCCCTAACCTCATTTGGACTGCTAGTGTATTCACCAAAGCACCATTCACATCAGCTTCGCTTAACAAGCCTTTTTTGACCGCATCCTGCGTGTGCAATCCAAGAAAAGGCCCACAGTCTAAATCCAAACCTGAAACATGATAAAAATATATAAATATAAATTACATTGTGTCTAAACATTCATCAATTGTTCCTCAACACCAAAATAACAACTTATTGGTCTCCAATTTCTCTTTTAATAATATTAATGTATTAATGGTGAAGGAATCAACCAATTTGGTTCTATGTCAGTGACTAGCCTGCTTTAATGGCATCGGCAGCAGCTGCTTCTGGCGTTGATGTATAATGTTGGTTACTGTAAAACACCCCTACAGAGTCACAGTCTGCTACAATGTACCTAAACCACAGTAAAACAAAAGATACAAAAATGTTTAGTTTGACATGATTCTTTCGGAAAGAAGGTGACAATCTAGTTAATGAACATTTGGTAATAGTATTTGTAAGCTTACCCATCAAGACCCCACACCCCACGTACTGTTCTCTTTAGGAGGTTGGGGTCCGCACAGGTAGGGACCCCATTGACCTGATTGTACGAACACATTACACTCGCTACTTTACCTTCCATCACACACATCCTGAATGGCACATCGAATGTGTCCTCTACGTCCTGCTTACTAACCTGCGCATTAAGCTCAAAGTGAGGTTTTACTCAAAAGAATACTAACTAATACAATGATATTAGGGGGACGCTTTGTCTTGTTTGGATAAGGGCCACGGAAAGTTGTCAACAAAAGGCATCCATGGCCTACAACATCATAAATCCTCTGTAAAAATATGATGCAACAACACTCCAAATTAGCAAAGCCAGCTCCCATTAATTAAAGAGCTATAATTTGATGAACTGTCACCCTGCCAAGGTTGTGCTATCCATTTTTCTCCCATCATGTTCTGTTTCCCACAATTAAATACTCTACTTCTTATGTAAGTAGAAAATAATAAAGAAATTATACATTAAGAATTTTAAGTATTTAATACGTCAAGCATGTTTGTTTATTTTTGAGGATACAATTGAACTCGTACAATGTGTAGGACACATTTGATCAAACCTATACCATTTTGCTTTCCAAACTCCGCATAATTAAGTTGATGAGGCCAGAATTGAGTCACGTGAATTCATTACACTATGGTTAGCATTTAAAAGATGATTAAGCTCTAAGCAAGAGCATTTAAAAACAAACAATATTATTATCCTTTAAATTTATTTAAAGTATCCAAAGACGCAAAACAATTAAGAAAAAGGTATACATAGAGGACCCACAAATCCTATATTAGGATTGGTTTAATAGTGAAGGGTTTGATAGTTTAAACACCCAATTGTATCAAATAAAATAAAATCCTACGAGTCATCTTGAGAACTTTCAACAAGCAGGTATATAACTCGTGAATGACTGGCACCATTAATAAGATTTCCAATTTCCCAATAACAAAAATTTTAATTTTCAAATGTTCTATAAATCACCGATCAAAACCTATAATCAAAGTCACGTGCATTCGCTTTAAGGTACGGAGGCGCCCTTTTTTTTTTTTTTTTAGGAAACATGGAGGCGCCCTTTTCATGTCATAAAAGATTCAATAAAATTTTACAGTGAGCACTGAGCAGCGCCACGCTCCATATAAATAATATAATAGTTCAAATTAAATTAAATAAGGCGCACCTGTGCGTTAAAGTGGAAGCGATCCACGCCGTTCCAATTATCGAGGTCATAAGCGGTAAAGTGTTTGCAACAAGCAGCCACCTTCAACCGGTTACCGTCCGTTCCCTGTAGCCCCTTCACGTAACTAGCAGCATATCTACCGGCTAGCACAGGATCCTCACCGGGAGTTTCCTGTCCACGGCCCCACCGTGGGTCCCTGAAAATGTTCACGTTTGGGCTCCAATAAGTTAGCCCAGCTGTTCCTCCGTTGTACATTGCCCTCGCTTCATCCGATACAACCTGCACATTAAATGTTCTCTTTCTTTTTGTTATAAAAAAGAACCAAGAGTTCGCAACTCCATACTTCACAAACTTCGTAAATGTTTTTTTTCGGTGATTCTCATATTTGGAAAATTGTGACTGGCATGATGTGCAAGTTGCATAGAAAAGGGAGCAATAAACAGTCTCCACTGACAATGATAATGCAAGTTGACAAGTGAACCAATCAGGAAGCAAAACAAAATCAAAAGAAAGAAAGAAATGAACTAATCATGATTTGCTTTAAGATAATTAAGTTTGTTAGATAAGTTCTAAAAAGATATATTTAAAGGGGAAGAATTCATTTATCAACTTTTTTTTATTTTTTATAAACTTACAAATTATGACCGATAATACTCTACTCAATAATGTATTATAAGTCAGATATAATATAATTTATAAAAATTTGAAAACAAAATTTTTGTAAATATAACCTTCTTCATATTTATATGACATTTTTTTTCCAAAAATAATTTTTATTAACTTCAAAAGAAAAGCTAACTTTTTTTTTTTAGATATTTAGCTTTTCTAAAAAAAATTATCTAATTATAATAAATTTTTGAAAATATTTTTAAAAATGCAAACAAATGGATTCTTCTTGGTTTCAAAAGAAAAAGATAAAAGTCAACCTTGTGTATGGGATAATTGGATGCCCCCGGTCTAATAAATCTACTAGTTCTTCTTTTCAATTTTATATTTTCTTGAGAATCATTTTTAGAGCCATTGATTTACAAAGATTCTTTCCACCCCCAGTCCATGAGCAGAAAAGTCAGGCTCCATAAACATAATTGAATGAATGGCTCCTCCCCGTGCACAATAATTGAATGAATGGCTACATAAACATAATTGAATGAAATGTGCGGTGATCATAACTAGGTATTAGTGCAAGCGCTGCCCAGTTAGTTGTAGATACTTTCAATAACATTATATTTCTATTACATTTAATTAAATGATAGGTTAATAAAAGACTGTTAACGAATATCGAATGGCAAACATATACTTTTTATTGTTAAAAAATATGTGGTTACGTAACTAACATGATAAATGATAATAACTAATAATTAATTCATCAATAACCAAATATAAATTAACTATGCCTTTCAATTATTTTATTTGAAATATGCTCTAAGTGTAAATTTTCTCACTTATAAATTGCTAAATAGTTAGCAGTGTTACAAAGCGGACTGAGTTGATAACACAAGCAAACAAAACTCCAGCAAAAAGAAAATCAAATCTTAACATAAAGAGACAAAAATAAAAGGGAAGCACTAGTTGGGGAGATAACATAAAAAGATGAAGATTGCAATGCATTTTATATTTCCATTTTGACATTAGCTTTAACTTAATTACATGTTTAACCTCTAAAGCATTTCAGATAATGATGAGAAATTTGTATGATAAAAATCACTTATTTAATTTAATACTATTTTCTTAAAAGATGCATCATATATATATGAAGCGATTGTGAGAGGATAAATATTTTTTCTATTTACCAAATTTTTTCTGTTTTGATTTATGAGTAAATATCTTTTTTGTTTCTCGTTAGATTTTACGATGTACACTTTAATTTTTAGTAAATAAAAAAGTTATTACATATTTAGTTGATTTGTGATCCTCACAAATTCAAAAAAGACTCACATTAATCTCTTAAAAATATTAAAATAAATTTACTTTGAATTTTTTAAGAACCACATATAAACTTTTATTTGTTAGGGACTAAAGCGGACATAGTAAAATTTGGTGAGAGCATATTTATCCTTGATTTATTTGTAGGCAAGAGAAAATCTCACCCGTCCGATTGCCTCCCACAAAGTTACATTGAAGGTAGCAGCGGTTGTGATGACTTGAGGGAAGCTAGTAGCGCCAGGAAACTGGGGTCCAAACTTGGTTCCAGGGCCCACATTTGAAACCCCATGGAGTGCCTCAGACCACCACTCATAGCCTTTGATCCCAAGCCTTGGAACCGCCGCGGCACTATTCACTAGCATGTTAACCTTCTCTTGTAGTGTCAACCTTCCAATGAGGTCCTTCACCCTCTCCGGTATCGCCAATGACACCTTGCAAAATGGCATGTTCTTTGCGGTGCTATCTTTTGGGTCACATGCGAATGGGTCACGTGCCTCCCCGGTGTGCCGGACGACACCCAAAAGGATGAGGAAGAGGAAGACAGTAATGAGGGGTGAGAATGTGGAAGCCATTTAGGAAAAAGAGAAAATAAACGTATGCTGCTTTGAAAAGTTAAGGAATGAGGGAACATTTTATATAGAAAAGGAGATGTCCAAATGACACTGTTCGATGATGATGATGACGACGTAATAGAGCGAGATATCTAGGTAGCTGGCCCTTTTATTGATTGGACTTTTCAAATATTTTTTTTTTGTTGCTTAACTAATTTAAGGAAATGAAGCAACTTGGCCTGGCTGGTGGTGAGATAAGATTTCAATAAAGTTGGTGACTAACAAATAAGATCACCCATTGCTGATAATTTAACAAATTAAAAATCATGGAATTGATGTGACATTATTTGTTTTAGTTTTAATTTTTTTTATTCATAACAAGTGCACCTTCATAATCTTTCATAAGATTCACATTAAGTAATTCTTAGGTTTTAAATGATCGTCTCTTTTATTTAGTTCGCCATGTTTCTCATAATATATTTCGTTAAAAAAAATATAGGGACATTTTAGCATTTTCTTTTTATCATATGTGTGCTTAAAAGTTAGATTTTGCACACTACTCATATGTTTGTGTGAGCCTTCAGTAATTTTTAATCTTTGATTATTCATATTAATCCAACAGTTTTAATCCTTTCGTTGGCGTCTTAGTTGATCCAGCATTTGGGAGGGGAACATTGGTGGTTCTGTTTTCACATATCGTTGGTCCTACTTATTAAACATATTAGGATATATGGATTATATTGGATACATCAGATTGACTTTCCTTGCTTTGGAGGTAATATTTTTTGGTTGCTTGTCTGGTCTTATTGTTATATGCCTGTCTAGCACAAATTTTTTTGCCTAAGAAAATGATTAGGTGACACAAAGTTCAATGATAATGCTTTAGAGGTCGAAAGGTGGCCCAAGAAAAGAAAAAAAAGAGTCCAATGGAGCAGCATTTATCACCTAAGCTAATGTTTATTGAAAGTGTTATTAACCGAATCATTTATTTCTTGAGGATTGTTATTAGTGGAAATTACATGAAATTAATCCAAGAATATGTTAGTAATATTTTTTTTCTATGCCAAATATCTCGAATTTGGAAAGAACAATTTCAACATCTTGCTGAAATTCCATCAAATGTAACAAAGTGTGAGTCAAGTCATTGTTAAGCTAGTTACCTAGATTCAGCTGCTTGATAGTTTTACCCTTTAAGTTAAGATGTTAAAGTTGTGCGAAGCTTTTGTAAAATGGGTTGAGTACAGCACACATTATTATTCACGGGAGTTAACTTAAAAAATCAGATACAAAAAATAAAAATAAAAATGGAGTCACTGGTCGATAGTAACGGAGATTATAGATCAAGAAAGCAATGATTGAATTAGGAAAAGTTAAATAGAGACCAATAAAGCACTGGTTGAATTATAGAAGTTACTGGCCCCTCCCCAATTTTAGATATCTGCATTAGTGCTCGCTGGTTGAGAGTAGCTTCACTTAGAAGTGAGGTTAGGGATAGAGCTTTTCTGGCTAAGATATTCAAACCCAGAGCTATATAGCCAGGGTGTAAATATAACATCTGGATGGTGAAAACTCAATATAACGACATAGGCAAAAGATAGAAAAAGGAAAGCGTTATTTACGAAAACACAAGATAGGCATTAGCACTAATGAACCTCGTTCTTTCTTTCTTACTTTTTATGAATAAATATTGGCCTGGTAAGCTAAGAATGTAGAAACAGAGGAGGACATTACCATTATCACCTTTCGTCGTTGGCGACAAATAAGAATCTCCCTTGGATAGGTAAAGGCCAATTTCTATTAAAATACAATGTCTCTAATAGTTGATCATAGCCTCCTAGGTCGAATTGATTCCTATAATTTTTCTAGGTGTTCATAAAATTTTTACTGTCATACTTATAGATTGATATCAATAGGTATTTACTCAATCCGACCAGAGATTTTTTATTTACGGCATCATTTTTGTTGTTTTTAAATTTTCCAATTGTGTAGGGGTATCAAAGTTCAAGATGAATGTTGTGTTATAGTCCGCACGTGTTGTGATGGCTTGACAGAGAAAGAGAAGAAATTAAGAAACCATCCACTTGTGTGTTTGTGGTTAGTTTCTGACAAAGGAGCATTAATGAAAAGCTTTGTTAGGTTTTGTTTGCAAGTCGCCCATAATGTATAGCAGAAGTTTTGTCTGCTTTCTTCTGCCATAGGACTCATTTTTCATGCTTTTAAACTTTTGTTCCGAATCTAACAATTCTTTCATCTGATCTTTAATATAGAATATGATCGAATCCTGTTTTGGGTTATTAAATCTAACACAACAACATAAAGAAATGATTTATGAAGCTTTTTGCCACATTCTGAAAGAATGATCTCACAATATATGTGTAAGGAATATTTTGCTGTGGTTCAAGTGGTCCACAACTACAACACATTTTTATATTGATTGCATTTGACTGCCTCTGCCTCGGTTCACTGCACCTATGTTAAAGGTGACACAAGTCGCTCTGTATCAATGTTTTACATAAGGGTTTATTATTTGTCATTATACCGTAAATAAATTTTATTTTCTATACATATATTTTTGAATCTATATTTTTATATTTTCTTTTCTTCTCATATTGACTTATACGGATATTACACACTTTTATGTGCGTACAAGAGATAAATTATCTAACAAGAAAAACATTAATCCCTTTAGTTAACTCTTCTCATACAAAACCTAACTGTGACCAATTGGAAGTGAAAAAGAAAATAATACAAAAAGAGAAACTCCGGAAATCAAAGACCACTACATCATGGTTCAGGGTCAGGTTCAACAGGGCTAATTATTGGCCTGGTGGACCAATTCCTTAAGAATGGGCTAGTTTAGTTAAGGTCATATACCTTTAATTTAAATGATATAGAAATACGTGCACAATTTGGTAGTATTGTGTGTGTTAATTTTTACTAACTAGTGACCTACAAGTATACCTGACGATCTTTTCTGGGACACCAAATAGAGATCAAGTAAAATAAAATAAAAAATTACCAAGAATTTCATCATATTGGTATAAATAAATGCCAGAGATTTTGAACAAAACTTCATAATTGAAATGATGGTTAATGAATCGCAATATAATTAAGGGCTACGTTTTTTTTTTTTTGATTGTTCCACTGGTTTCTGGGGCTTCGTCCCGACTATGTCCAGTCCGACCCAGGTAGGTATTGGCAGGTGAGTCTCCCAGCGAGAATTTTCTGCATACACAAGATCTCGAACTCGAGTCCTTGCTTAAGCGATTAAGGGCTACGTTTAACCGGACACTTAACAGATCATGCTTGTAAAGATGCCTGCGCAATCATGGCTATATGTACCAATAAGAGCTTATCCTTTTTTTTTTTTTTTTTTATTTTATTTTTTTGACGTTCACCAACAAGACTTGTAAATGTAATCAACCAGCATCGTTTGTTATATATAAATGGAGAAAGGTGTTTATCATTTTAAATGACATAAAATTATGTCATTTTAAGAGAGAGATAGACACAAAATTATTTTTTATTTAAAATTTAAATTTAAAAAACCATTTACTTTCCCCCATGATCTTCACTTATTGTGTCTATCTCTCTCCTAAAATGACATAATTTATGTCATTTAAAATGATAAACATCAAACCCAATAAATGAATTATGAATAAGAAGGTGAAAGAGTGTCTTTTCGTTTCTGAAAATTCATATCTCTTCATTTGCGAAAAGTCTCATTTCTATATTATCAAAAAAAAAAAGTCTCATTTCTTTGTTTTCGAAAAGTCGCGCCTTTTCGCAATTGAAGAGTCATGTCTCTTTATTTCTTAATAGTCATAATTTTTCTCCTATATGTATATATATGTTCAGTGAATTAAAAAATATAAAAATTGACTCCTTTCAAAAACTTCGTCAAAATTAATCCCCACATATTGACTTTATTTGCGATTGGTCAATATTTGTTGTGTTCGCCGGTGCTCTTTCTTCTGATAGTGTCACCATCGTCGTTCTATTCTGCAAAGCATTTGTCCACAAACACGGTTGAGGAGGCAAAATTGTCATAAGGATGTCTGATTGCAAATTTTGTGTAAACATTTAATATTTGGTAATTTAAAGCCAAATTTGAGAAAAAAAAATAAATAGGCTCAAGGGATCACATTCTTGCTTTCATTTCTTTTAGGGCTATGATTATGGCGTATATTCCATATTGACTTCCATTGTTGATAGAATGGAAGACGCAAAATAACTCATTTTTTTCTCGTCTTTATGCTCTAAACCTCCACAGCATTATTAAATTAGAAATCCAAACGTACATGCTTTCGTCACTCTAAATTTTACGTTGAAGTGCATTACGGACATGTGTTTCATTGGTTTGCGGTTCTAATATTTGGCTTTTGACTAGGATAGTGGAATTCCAGTAGTAAATAGGGGTTGCTGATGGTTTAGAAAATGATGAGGTCAATTAACGACCAATTATGGGGGGTATATATGATAAGTTGTTCATGTGGGAGAACCTTGTACCTAATTGTATTATGATGGATGTGAACTTTTATTCTTGAGTAAAAATGAAGCAGAGTTAATGGTTCCCCTTCCCTACTGCTTTTGGGATGGGAAAGGCAGTTTGCACTTGCAGAGAAAAGTCCACACAAGATGAATATCTTTTGAATCGTCGTTTTTAATTTGTCCATGATGACTAACTTACCAAGAACATTATCAAGTGCCAACAATTTTTTTGGGTGTTCTGTCTCTTATATTTGTTGGTAAAAATAAGAGAGATTTTCTACTAGGGTGGATTGTTTTTCCTCATGTTGGATAGTTTCAAAAATCATGTTGACGTACCCATTAGGCCATTCTGTTTGGGTGTTATTATCTCGAGGCTCATCATTCTTCCATTAAATGATAAAGCTTTGTGGGCCGTTAAAAATGTTAGTGGATCGGTCCAGATTATGATCATGCATAGACTTCTCTAGGCATTTTTTTATACTATAAAAACGGGTATTGTCAAAGTCATCTAAACCCGGAAGCTTATCCCTATAATTTGCTTGATCTAGGACAGATCGTGTTGGACCAAAAATAGTAACAATAAACAATAAATGCTTCCAAAAAATTTAAGTTGCTTTTTGCAATTGTTCTGGATCCATCTTATAACCCAGATCTCAATAATCTAACTGAGCAGCAACAACAGATAAGATACTTATCCCATCTTTTTCAACGGTACCACTCGCACCAAGACTCTACTATAGCTATAGGTAATTCATTTATATATAAAGGATTCAGCCTATCAAATGCATATTTTTGGCTCATTTGCTCTTTAGCTTGTACTCTGCACACATTTCACGCTCTCGCTACATTGTCTCTATTCATGCACAGTAAAATGCGATTCTTTGTTATTTCTCTTCTGTAGACTTCCGTTGTACCGGTTGTGTAACGCTCGGCCGCTTCAATAATCAACGACTATTTCCACATACTAACACGAGACGAGACTTTTCAAGGTACTTTTTCTTCACTCGCACACTTTTCGGGAAAACTTCCCAGGAGGTCACCCATCCCAGAATTGCTCCAAGTCAAGCACGCTTATCTGTGGAGTTCTTCCGATCCGCGCTACCGAAAAGCAGATGAATCTTGTTAGTATAGGTAATACCAATTAATTCTTATAAGCTATTCCCAAACTATGCAGTCTCATACATATACAGTCTTTGGAATCCCTCTCTTTCGGGTGTCGATTCGATTCATTCATACATGTAACCCCACGCTGGAAAGCCTGTCAGGAGCCGCTCCTTGTCCGTGCCTCTTTGCACCGGCGATCACTCCCCGCCCTCATCAGCGCTCGGGATGTTACAGATTGAAGATACAAATATCAACCCTCTGGTTGGATAATCTCTATCCTCGCGAATCGATCAGAAATATAATTTTTTATAAAGTGAATTCAATAGAATAAGTATCAATTATTCATTCTATCCTTTCTTTAAGACAAGTGACTCTTCCCTATTCTCACAAGCTTTAATTTTTTAAACTGATTATGAGACTAATCCAGAATGTAGGGTGGATCAAGATGAAGATATTTAAACTCCTCCCAAAGGTGATATGTGAGAATTGAACTGAGGTCTTTTCATTTCCGTTTACTCAGTTCCTTTACTACCAACTGAGGCACCATCATTTGATATTGATATTATGCATCTAAAAATGATTTGAAGAGGATATGATTTATTGATGCAATTTTAGATATAGATACATGACTAAATAAGTTTAGGGACATTAATTAGGGTAGAGTTATGTTTTCAAAATTTTTATTTATAAACTCTTATAAATCATATTATGTACTCCAGAGAGTACACTCAGTTATGAATGTACTCTCAAGAGTAAATAGTATAATATGTAAATAAAAAATTTGTAAATATAACTTATTCTCATTAATTATATATAATTTATTTATTTAAAAAAAAACACATTAATCATACATAATTTAAACATATAAAATTTCATCAAGTTTTGATTCAACGCAGATGAGATACAAGTTATCCTTAATGACAGCAATGAAGAATTACACAACTCAAAACATAAGTTGTAACAAAAAAGCAAGAGGTAATACACAATACAAGGTAGGAGAGAGCTACAAGATAGGACGACCCAACAGCTAATCAAAAACATATTCCTATTTGAATATCACTCCCCAAAACAGGACAAAAATATTGATGATTTCTGTTCTCAATTGAATAAAACCTTCCTAGGAACTCCAATCGAAAATCCGAACTGCAAAACTCTAGATACCAATGTGATAAAACGTCTTTCCAAGTTTGAGTTTCATCCAATGGTTCATTTGAGAGATGTTTCTCTCGTAACACCGTTGCTTGCTGTAGAGTTTTGCAACAAAAAATAAAAATAAAAAATAAACACGATTCAATTGTGGAATTTCTGAAACTTGTACAAATCTGTGATTAACTAATCCACCCTGCCTCTCAATTTTCGGAGCAAAAATTGGTGTGGCCTTTTCTTGGTTTTTCTCAACCATGTGGCGCTCACTTCTTGTTTACAATGGCTTCTACAAGTGTGCATTATAAGGAAACACTATATCTATACTTTTTTGGGCTGAAATTTGTAACATCTCGAGCGCTGACGAGGGCGGAGAGTGATCGTCAGTGCAAAAGGTCATGGACAAGGAGTGGCTCCTGACAGGTTTTCAGCGGAAGTTACATGAATGAATGAATCGAAGCGTCACCCGAAAGAGAGATTCCAAAGACTGTGCAGGTATGAGACTGCACAATTTGAGATAGTTTATAAGAATTAATTGGTACTACCTATACTAACAAGATGCATCTACTCTTCGATCGCCCGAAACGAAAAAACTTAATAGTTAAGCGTATTTGACTTGTAGTAATTCTGTGATTGGTGACCTCTTAGAAAGTTTTACTAGGAAATGTGAGGAAAAAGCACACTGAAAAAAGGAGTGTCGTGTTAATATGTGGGGATAGTATTGATTCTTGAAGGACTCGAACGTTACAAAATTTTAATTTTTTTTTTTACGATAAAAACCGAGTACATGCCCTTAGAAATCGCTTGTTTTATGATGTCTTATATAAAAACAGTGCCGGTAAAAACTTTTGATTTTGCTAAATTCAATGACATCAAACACAAGAACTGGCTTCATGACATTCTTTCACTTTGGCAGCTTTACTCCCTGTAAGATAAGTTCTAACAAAAAAAACAAACAATCATCTTAGACCTAAGATATCATACATAAGACACGCCTCAACTCTCCTACACACAAAATTAAATACCTATGCAAAGCAACATTTTCACTAATTTGACCATATCTAAATTTTTGTACCGCTAAAACTTCTGAGGAACAACCAGTGAGATAGTTTTCTCTTAACCTTCTTCTCTTTAATGGTGTCCAAGCTAGGCTTCCACCCCTTCCCTGACAATTGCCTACTTAGATATTCTGGCCTCCCTTCTATCACTTCTTCCAAAAGCTCAGAAAAATCATACCTCTCTTCCGTATTCTCCATGTCTTCCTTTCTCTGCAACATTTTAGCCTCTCCAATTGTAGTGTTACGGTTCTGCCATAACCGGGCAAGCCAAGGAAGAAAACCTGTAGAACGCATGAGATACTTTGAATTCAGAGCAGAATTAACGATGAAAAGAATGCGTCGACTATCTTCGCCGCTCAATCCTACGGGCTTCCCTCGCTTCACCGGAAGCATTACATATATCTTTCTCATCTCGAGTTTTTTGTCAGCTGGCAATGGAGTTGGCTTTCTCTGGTTCATAGCTGAATGGAACTCAACAACCACCTTTTGTGGGTTCTCCAACATGAGCTCTGCCACCGTTATTGGCTGGTCAAACTCTTGAACGGAGCCATCCCAGTGAACAACTTTCCCAGTGGCATCTGCGGCATGAAGTGATATATGGTTTCCCATGAGAGGCTATTAGGTTTCAATTCAAGTTATTATTGTTCACGAAGAAACAGATGGGGAAGATTAGTTGTGAAGTTCTGGCGACGGAGGATGTGAATTGAGTTATATTAGTACTTGGGTAATGTACGTATTGGGAATTGATGTTTGTTAAACAGCTCCATGTTGAGAAGGTTACGATGGTGGACTTGGTAGTTTGATTTGGCTGGGTCGTTAGCTTTGGGGTGAGTTACAAGTACATTAGTTCATAATTTTGACTTAGGAATTGGACTGTCTCCCACATTTATTAATTCATTTCCTTAAAAAAATAATATCCTCTAAAATTTTAGATATGTTGTAATCTTTATTTAGAGTGGGTTTGATCTGGAATGGGCTTGAGTTAGATTCGTGGTGACCGCATTAGAATGTTCTTAATCATGCCAAGTCCATTTACCTAACAGGAACTTGAATTCAAGGAACCGTTCAACTACAACTTTATTAACTAATTTGATTAGATTATTATTGGTGGTATGTGATGCAGTACAATTATATTGAACTCTCCAATTTGTCTGTCTTTTTCCTGTATTTCCCTTCCTCTGTTGCTAATGATGGCCCAACTCAATTTATAGTAAATTTAGGTTGCTTGTAAGCCACTAGGTTGGTCTAGTAGTGAGAAATTTAGGTAATTTGTATTAGCTAGATTATATGTTCAATTTTCATATATGCATTAAAAAAAAAATTAGGTTGCTTGTCGGTAGTATATTTTTAACTTCATGACCTTTTCTCTGGGGTGGTTGTAATCAAAAGAAAGAAAGAAAAATGGAGGGGGAACAGAAAGTACGTTCATTCACAGCTTGGACACCCTCCATTGAACGGTATCATTAATCTGATGTACCATAATGTGAGCAATGTGACTTATGAGGAGTTGATTTGTTCACCTTGGCTTCATGGAAGGGAGAACGATTTGTATGGCATAATTCATTGGAATTTTATGCTCTAACAATGGATAATAGTAAGATGTAAAAGGGCATAAAGATTTAGCTTGATATTTAGGTTCCATTCTCAAAAGAAGAAAAAGCATTATCAAAGTACGCTTCAGAAAATTTGAAAAAAAATAAAATAATCATCTTTATTTTTTCTATCCATCAAATTACTCGCTTTTCTTCCATTTTTCAGAGAGAAACTTTTGCTTTAGAAAAAATTTATTTAAAAGAAAAACTATGTGATGTGATTCAGTTGATAAATAATCTTGATATTAATTAATAAACTTTACTTACAATGAAATCCATTTAAAATACCTTGTTATCAAGGTCAAGTTAACATATGAATAAAAATTAATCCCACACTCAAAATAATATATGGGTATCTTGTGATTTTATTAAAAGAATTATTAAAAAAGAAGAAATGTTACTAAATATTATTGTCGTATATGCTTCAAACATTATAAAATAAGAAATTGTTTTCCTAAACAAAAAGGGTGGGGGACAAGATGATGTATATTGTTTTTATTAGGCTTTGGGGTCAAATGAAGCAACTGAAGAATGATGATAATCATTGCAAAATGACGGCCATAAGGACATGCCACAATATAATAATTCCAGTTTTGTTAGATCATTCGATTGATATAATTAAGAATAAAACTATTAGAAACGGGGAAATAAACCCAAAGGAATTTTTTATTAGTCTATTTGGATACATTAAATAACATGTACAGATTAACTTATATTTCTCTACAAACTTAATGCACCAAATTAGATATGAACAAAAAAAATTAGTAACAAAACTATTCTTAAAGAGTATGATTGTAAATAATTAATTCCTTATTTATAAAATAAATATTTAATAAAAAATTCAATTTTCATTAGCAGAGATAAATATCTTTTAATGATTATTAAGTGTGTGTCTCGCTATTATTTAGATGCTGGTACGGTGAGATTTTTTATGATGGAAATTACATCTAGTATGGGCCGGAAACTGATGTGATTGGTAATTGCTGGAGTCGTACAAGTTAACCCAAAAATGACAATAGGGCTTTTCTCAAGCTTTGTGTAATATTTTGGGCCGTTGAGGTGAATTCTCAACTCAATTTTCTTAAATACATATATATTCTGCCCCAATACATCTTTAATTGGCATAGGGTTTATGAACTTCAACCAGCTTGAGACTCCTTGAATACACTTACCCGCGACAATTTAAAAATATTAAACTCGATCCATCATCCATGTATCTGTTTCAGTGTAAAAAGTTAAAATAACAATATAAATGAACACGATCTAGGTGTGTGATGATTTTAAGGTTAAAATTGTTGGTCAAATTGTGAACTCAGGAGAATTCGGAAATAGGTTCCAGAACAGGATTCCATCGTCCTTGGTTCCCCCGCTTTCGACAGACAGTGAAAATGGCAACCTCGTTTTCTTCGTCGCTTTCCCTTAACCTCGAAGCCGGTGACGGTGAAACCTTCGCCGTGTTATTTCCACTCGGTCTCTTTCTTTGGCCATTCTCTTTCTCAGCAATCGCCATCTCAAACTCCGAAGCCTTGGAATGGACCCTACTCGCAGGCACCAGCAGGTAAACCTTCCCCGCCACAAGCTCCTCATCGGCCCGTAAGGCCGAAATCCGTCGTGTTCTCCAGAGTTCGTCCACCGGAGTGATGACGTGGCCGATTTCTTCGATCATGAGCTCCGCGGATTTCACGGGTAGCTTGATCTCCCGAATGTTCCCACCAGTGTCAACGAGCATCGCTGTTTTAGTACCCTTTCCTCTCTTTTTCAAAAACCCAATACTAACAGCAATACTATTAGAGACATAAGAACAAGAAGTACAGTTCCCCATAGAGTGTGTTACTTTATAACAACTATAATAATTATGGGACGATGAAGAAGCTCGCTCTTGTGTAGGCTGTGCGGTGGAGAATGGGAATGTTGTGTTTATATATATAGGTTTTTAGGTTGGGTCAAAGAAAGGAAGGGATCCCTCTATGCAAACCACGCAATTGTTTGGGTGCAAACTAGTGTCAAAAACGCGGACCTTTCTTGTCTTGCTGGTTTATTAGGGACTCTGTGAATCTATCATGGTTCTATAACTAATGAATTATTGAATTCCTGATTTTGTCAGTGAGTGGTGAGGTGACTATGTGGGACCTTTCTTGGTTTCCACTATGGTTTACGCGTCAGATTCCAATTTCCAACGAATACCGACTTGTGGTTACTAAAATTCAGAATGACGCCAAAATTCACCAATTAATCTTATGTAGCCTTTTGATTTGGTCACTAGTGCGCTTTACAGTAACATTGGAGTGGCCTTTTGCTCTGCCCGCCACTTGAAGGATTAGATTAGACGCCTAAACAATGAAATTACAACTGGAAGAATCTATTATGTCTCAAAGGTGGACTTAAGTGAATTTGCTTTAAAGAAAAGCTAAACTTCTTGCCATTATACTCATGACTCGTGAGAAGATAATTAAAGATTCTTGATTTTATTTGGAATCAGTTTTATAGCGCTTTGCTAATTTTCTCATTGAGAAAACTTTGTTTTGCTCTCAAATATATGTTATATTTGTGGACAATCCCTTTTACTGATCTTTTAAACTTCAGCATCCATTTGTCTTTCTGTCTAGTGGATATTAACAGTAAATTTTCCTTCGACCTTCTTCATTGTCTCCGTTAAAAAATGGATAGTGATTTTGCATGGTAAGTTTTTGTAGAAATAGAACTCTAAATTACTTAGTCACAAAGCTATGATATCATATCAAATAATTAGCTTTCCCAAAAGTTTAGGTAAAGGTATATGAATAATTTTATATTTATATTATATTTCTAACAAAATTTAGGTTACTGTGCTTTCTAATCTTGCTATCTGTTGTCTTTCTTAGGGGTGGCAAAAACGAGCCAACCCGCCGGGTTGGGTTGGCATAAATGAGGGATACTGACCAAAATGCCACTGTTCACCAACTTTTTTACTTAAATGCCACGCGAACAGTGTTATTTCCCAATCTGCCACGGAGGCAAGTTCGCTTCTGACACAAGCGACCTCGGTTTGCTGACGTGTCACATTTTTAGTGGATAACAAGTATTAAATTTAAAAAAAAAAAATAAAAAAAAATGAAGTTCGCCTACCATGTAGGCGAACTTGATTAAAATATTGTTGGAACCGAGGTCGCCTGTGTCAGAAGCGAACTCTGACACCACTAGGGAGTTGACACGTCAGCAAACCGAGGTCGCTTGTGTCAGAAGCGAACTTGCCTCCGTGGCAGATTGGGAAATAACACTGTTCGCGTGGCATTTAGGTAAAAAAGTTGGTGAACAGTGGCACAATGGTCACTGTTCCCATAAATGAGCTGCCAACCCGACCCGACTCAACCCGAACAAAAATGAGCCAGCTTGCCGGTCAAACGAGCCAGTTCGCGGGTTGGAATTTTTTATTATTATTTAAAATAGTAATATAAAAAACTGCCCTAGTACGCGTACCCATTGTTCTCACTTTCTTTTCTTTCATCGTACCCATCCATCTCTTTTTTCTTCGCTCGTCTTCGCTGCCATATTCTTCGCTCGTCTTCGTACTCAGAGTGCCGGCAGGTAAACGACTTTTCCCTACCATGCTATTTCTTTTCTTTGCTTGTCTTCTGTCTTCTGACTTCTGATTTCTTCTTCTTGGGGCCCGTTTGGATGAGATTTTTTTTTAAAAGCTGTTTTTTTTCAAGAAAAAAAGCACTTCTCGTTTTTAGTTCATTAAAAAAAGCAGAAGTCACAAAAAAAGTCAAAAACCTACTTTTTCCAGAAGCTAAAAATTTTAACTTCTAAGAAAAGCAAAAGTCAAAAGCCAAATATTTTTATAAAAATATAAATAGCTTTAACTTTTATAAAAAGCACTTCTAAAATAAGGAAGAGATAAAAGTTACTTTTTTAGAAGGCGAAACAAACGGGCTCTTGGTAATCACTGTCGTCAGTTTCTATTATGTACTCTTTAGTTTAACTTAAGATCCATTCATGCTATAATACAATTGTTAAGGTAAAGGGAACATAACCCATTAAAAATTGATTATTTTAAGAGGAGAGATATTCTTACTACTAAAATCTTCTACTACCAGCTCACTACCTATCTAATCACCATTGGATCAACATTTTCTCTTTTTCAAAAACTTTTTAGCATTCTCTCTCTTTGATTCAATTGTGATTAGATAGGTAGTAAGTTAGTAGTAGAAAATTTTGGTAGTAAAAATATTCTACCTTTTATTTTAAATAGTCAAATATCAATACAATTAGTCCTCTGTGACTGGCCCATTAGATGTTCCTATTCGTTCACTCACAAAATGGTTATTTAAAAAAAACAAAAGGTAAAAAGTTAAATCACTTTTGATTTCGTCACGCAATGCCACCTGGATGTCCTGAAAGATTTAAAAAACAAAAACGAAGTTAAAGTACATTACAAAATTACAACATTCAAGCTCTTAACAAGTACTGAATATACACGCTAAAAGGTAATATTTCGAGCCAACCCGCAAACCTATGAGTTTTTTTTGAGTAAACTCATGAGTTTTTTTTCGAGCCAACCCGCGAGTTTATTTCCGAGCCAACCCTAACCCGGCTCGGGTCGAGCTGGGTTGGATTTTTTGGCTCGTTTTATTTTTCGAGTCAACCCTAACCTGACTCGTTTTTTACAGGTTGAACACGGGTTGGATCGGGTCGAGCCGGATTGGCCCGTTTTGCCAACCCTAGTCTTTCTGTCATTCTCCCGTGGGTTCCAAACTGCTTATGACTTTTCTAGACACCCAAGCATTTGTATCCTAGAAAAATTGTTTGCAACTACATGCCATAGTCGACGTATTACCTTCCTCTGGATTTCGTTTGTAATGCCATCTAGTTTTCACCTATGTTTAATAGCAGTATAAATTTCATATATACAGATATGAAGGAAAGCCTGATGGGGTGTGGAGCTGGTGCCACCAGGCATTTGGAGATCCCTTATATAACAAATAGTATAAAATGATAAACTCATGTATTAAATGGGCTAAAATGTAATTAACCTTCAAAAATTGCTTAAAGCATGAAAATTTAGACTAAATTGGTTAAAATGTCATAATCATGTCCCTCTAACTTATATGAGTAATCTTTGCTAATTTTGTAAGAAAATTGAAATGAATTGAAATCAGGATGAATCCAAAAGATTTAGAGAACCAAATGGAGAACAACAAAACTAATGGGAACACGTGCTAAGAGCGTCCATCAGCATGCAAATACAATAAAGAAGAGCAATATCAAAACGTACTATCATATATATTCAAAAGCTCTTTGGAAGAGCGCGCTCCAATATCCAATTTTACAATGTTTCAATGCGCTTTAGCACCCTATTTGAGAGCAAAAAGGCCTAAAACGGCATGAGGATCCAAATTAGGGCCCTCCCTATATATAAGAAGTGCCTAGGGCTTAGAAAACACTCTTTCTGGATATTTTTGGTGTAACACCCCGTCTGCAGCCGGTTAATTAATATTCATATGATACTTAGCGCAGTAAAAATTAACTTAACAAATGCAGAAGTTAATTGGTTAACTTTTTATTTTTCCTTATGTATTACAAACTTTATCACTTTCATGACCAAAATAAAATGGACAACATTTTGTCTGTATTTTGGACCACTGGGGACATTTCTCACCTTGATAACTTTCACCTGATTAATAGTTTAAACATATCCCAATCACAACACAACATAGATGAAACATATTGCTCAGTCATCCTTGGCCTGGGTTATCTCATAACCATCGGATCTCAAAATAATGTTCATGATGTTACTCTTGGCATTCTGGGATCACGAGTTGCCAATGTTTCATGTTTTTGAGAGCCGGAGACGCTTTAGAGGCAAGATTAAATTGGAATTTATAGAGATTCACCATGCACCTCATTGAGATGGAGTTTGGGGAAGCATCTATGTTTTATTTTGTTTTTGTTATTGCCATGTCTAGCTAAATTCTTATATGGTTAGGGTTAGATGAAACCTAATCAGATCTATATGTTTTCGAGTTAATCTTTTAATGCAACTTTCTCTTTTTATATTATATGAATATGGCTATTGTTCATGTGTCTATAAGTTCTTCCTCTTGTAGATTGATCTAGGGTTCATGTATGACAATAGGGGCATGGGTATGTGAATCGGGATTGATAAATTCGTCATCGATTTGTATGAATATAGGAATAGACATATGAATCGTGCAATCTTTATAATTCTTATTTTTAATGCTTTAAGTCCTTTTAAGAAACACCAAGGAATTAATTTTCTTTTAAAGGCATAAAGGGTTAGAATACCAAAAGGTTGTGTTTTAACTAAATTAGGGGAATTGGTTGACAATATAAAAAGGACAATTAATTAGGGTTTAACTTAGGGCATATAATGAATATTAGGAGAAATCGAATCTGTAATGTCCCACATCGGTTGGAGAGGGGAACGAAGCATGCCTTAAATAAGGGTGTGGATACCTTTCCTTGTAGGAGGCCTTTTGGGGGTAACCCGAAACGTAAAACCGTGAGCTCGACGGTGCTTGTGTGCGGGGCAAAGCGGACAATATCCTGCTACAGGGTTTAGGGCTGTTACATTTGGTATCAGAGCCTGGCCCTGGACCGGTGTGTACAGCGGGGACCCAGTGGGGGAGGATGTAATGTCCCACATCGGTTGGAGAGGGGAACAAAGCATGCCTTAAATAAGGGTGTGGATACCTTTCCTTGTAGGAGGCCTTTTGGGGGTAACCCGAAACGTAAAACCGTGAGCTCGATGGTGCTTGTGCGCGGGGCAAACCGGACAATATCCTGCTACAGGGTTTGGGGCTGTTACAGAATCCCTAGTTACGCTTTTTTTGATTGCGTATATCCTTTTTATTGTGTTATTTGTTATTGTTTTTATTTAAATTGTTCTTTAATTCTTGTTTAAATCCTTCATTCGAATTGTCCAACTTAAGCGATATAGTGAACTAGTTCTTAAAATATTAATCTTTATGGGAATGATATTCTATTCATCACTTTATTACTTGTATGGTTTATTGTGGGGGGGGTTTAGTTTATTTTAACATAGTAATAGTTACATATACTTTTAATTGAATTTTTATTTTCGGTTATTTTAGTTTAGTTTTTATTTTAGTTTATTTTATTCCAATAATTAAATCACACTCTTATATAAGAAATGAGAGTGCATCCTCTCATGTTAAAATTTCACATGACCTGGTTATATAAATTTTTTGTATCTATCTCTCTTTTCACATGTATTAAATAATGAGGTCTAATTATCGTTAATGAAAAAAAAGATAGACAAAAAAATTTCACATGATCAATTCATATAAAATTTTATTTCCATAAGAAATAGTACAAAACTAACATTATCTAATTAGATAGGCATATTGTAATTGAACTAATAACTGGGATTATTCCAATGAATTATTGAAGTTTTGTTGTCAAAGTTGTTCTAGAAGTTTGATAAATTTATATGCTCTGATGAAGCATGCTGAAAGAAACATGCCAGTTAGGATTATGTTTGTTGATAGTGTATCTCTCTTCCCGGTTCTGAAACAAGTGATTAATGAACATGGAAAATACTGCTCGCAAGTTGCTTGATTGAAGTTATTATATTATTACTTAACGCATTAAATACACTGGTCCTGAAGGCCTCTTCTTCTCTCCTTTCTTGGTTAGGTGAGCAAGTGTTTCCAATTACTGAAAATTTATCCCCTTTATCGGTGGCTCCCTCTCTTGTCTCTATCCGCTTCATACGATTGGTACTGATCAAGCAAATCTAGTTTTAATCCGTATTAAGATGCGGATTATTTTAGTGGTTTCTACTTTCCAGTCAGAATGTTCAGCGACTTCTTTGTGCTACATGATGCGCTGTTGGTTCTTTTAGGACCTGGAATTTTGCTGCTTTCGGGGTGAACATAGTTGATTGTTTCATTTTGAAAATATCTAAATCTCATATTCTTTTATGTGTTAAATAATATGACTAAGTCCTCAATATATAAATAGTGATGATTATATAATTTTTTATTTTAATATTTTGTTACTTTCATGTCTTATTGTAATTAATTCACCATTATACGATCACAATAGTTGTTCTGACATTTCATCCGAGTACCATCAATGATTTAGCAATGTTCAGGCCTTGAGAATGCCGGTGAAGGTATCTGTTAGTTGACATTGTCACATTGACTCGTAGTTCTGATTTCTAAGTAAATATGGCCGGTACTATCTAGGAAAGGACATAAATTTAGATCCTAGTAAAAATGAAAAAAATAATACCTATATCTTTATTTTTTTCGTTTTCATTTTTTTCAATGAAATCCACACTTTTTTATGTTTATCTTTATCTTAAAAGGACAAAAATTTATATCTTTTAAAAATACACATACATTACCCATCCAATCTAGGATAATTCATTATATCACAGACCATAAGCAGAATATAATCACGGAAGTTTGAGTTCAGTCTAATTGGTGTTCATCAATTGCCCGGGGTTCGATCAGAATCTGTGTCCCCTAACTAATGGCTAGTACTTGCAAACTGTTGGTGACTCAGGGAATCAACCCATGACCCTGTTCCCGTTTTGATCAATTTTCTTGCACATGTGAAGTATTAGTTCACTTACTAGTTCATACAAATTTTTTTTTTCTTTACACATGTCTCAACTGCTGAAATTTAGTTAAGGCGCCTCTGAAAGTGTGAATCAGTAAGAGTTGCTGCTATTTCATAACTTCAAATGAAACACAGGTCATTTCCCCTAATAAAAGGACTAAGAATTCCAACACATCTTTCCCTTTCACACAAAAAACAAACTGTCCAATTTGTACGGAAAAACAGAGTTAATGCTTAGTAGCTAAAGATATGCCCTAAAACCTGCTTCCCGTGAAGCCAAAAACAAAGAAGATAAGAAGAAAAAAATAAAAATAAAATAAAATCGTTTATGGGTGCTTCACGATTACAACAGCACAGCTGGCATGCTTGGCACAATAATCACTGACACTTCCAAGGAGCGCCCTGCAAGTTGGCAAGACACCAAAGTTATTTTTAATGATATTATTACGTCTTTTACTTAAATTATATAATAAAGGTGCCCACAAGCTCCATAAGTCTGAAGAATATGTCAGCGATCGATACCTCTTAAAGAATCCATAGCCATGGGTTCCCATAACCAAGGTATCAGCCTCTAGTTTCTGCACTGCACTGCATATCACATCCTTGGCATCTCCACTCCCAACTAGTCTCTCCAAATTGATCTGCATAAACCCTTTATGAGCGGGTGTAACGTTGAGATAGACACTTGAATAGAAGAGAAGAGAAAAATAAGGAGGCTTACATTGGTGTTCAACCTATTGCAAATTGCTTCAGCTCCTTCCATTATTGAATTAGCCAAATCCTTGCCATACTTTTCCATAGCAAAAATAGCATCACTGGAAAATATGCATCCTGTAAAACATCAAATCACAACAATACTGGAATTAGCCAAACTTGGAAACAAACCTCAAATAATTACAATAACAAATCAACGAGTGTTTCATATTTGGAATTGGGAAGAAAGTAAAACCTGAAGCATCGAAGGAGTAGACAGCAAGAGGTGGCTTGACATAGAGCAGCACTAGTTTAACGTTGGTGGTGTCAGAAATAAGGTTGGTGATGCACCACGACAGTGCATACATGCTCTCTTCACCCTCATCCACAGCCACTATAATCTTTCGCTCTTTTTTCTCCGTTATCATTGGTCCAAATGAACCTGCTATTTTCTTTCAACTTCTACGCTTGTCTTGAGTAATCCTCTGGCCTTAAAACGCAGATATCGGTAGCAAATGAGTTTGGAATATATACTCTTTATTTCTATTAAAAAAAAAGAAAATATTAATGTGCAAATAACACCAGCATTTAAGATTCCAGCTGTATCAACTGTCCATTCTAATGACAGTGACTGATATCTACTTGAAAAGGGAAATCATGAAGTCCATTTAAATTACTAAATAAAATTTGTGATAATGTATTTATCAAAAAAAATTAATCGTTTTCCATAAAATCAGTACATAGTACATACTTTGTGCACATAATATAATAATCACGGTGTGTTTATTCGTTGGCTGTATTTTAATTAAGAAATATTTTAAGCAATTTTTTTTTTCAGAAATAGGATCTTTTCATATCAATGTCAAATTTATAATTTGACACTTCATATGAGAGTCAATAGATCAAAAAAGATCAATAATTCTGATTTGTAAGCATGTGATACTATTGATCTTTTTTGATCTAAGAACTCTCAGGTGAAGTGTCAAATTTCAAATTTAATACTGATATTAAAGAATCTTACCTCATTTTCTCAGTACCTTTTTAGCACTCTATCTCCCTCCCTAATCTTAAGTCTTCTTGTTTTTTAATATACTAAGTTACTACAATAATCTCAACTTATAATTTTATTTAAATATGTATTTTTTAATTAAGTGAATTATACATAGTATTATAGACTCATATACGAGACTCATGTTCTATCTCGAATTTACAATTGAAGCGATAAGAATTAATATGAGAAAAACAAACTTGATTTATTTAGAGTCAAAACATAAGAAATGATGTAATGACTAAGAACTGAGGTTAACAAAGAATGCAGTAGAGATTATGGATTGATAATCTGTTTAGCCTATAGTAATCCGGATTAGGGAAAACTTATGATAAGAAATATTCTCATTGATTATAACTTGAATTGAAAGAAATATAAATATAATATGAACTATTTTTCTGGTAAGATTGACACATTCAATTTTTCCGGATAGGAAACATATGAATTATTTCTTGGAATTAATGTGATACAATAAATTCAGGTAAATCTTAAAGAAAATTTGAATCATTTTTAAGATTATGAACTTATATATACTCCAGCAGCCCGAATATCTAGATTATCTGACTAAAGGGCAACTGTTATGGACTTACATGTGAGGTCCATTTAGTATATGGCCCCACTAAGAGATAATTCAAATAAGAATATGATATAATTAAAGAAAAATATTAATCTAAGATATTAATTCTAATATGACAAAATTATATTTGGACTTGGATTTCTAGAGGAGGCACAAAGGATCCAAAATTCTTATACACACATATAAATTCTATAAATAAAAGACAAAAACTACAAATATGATTCATTCTCTCTTATTGGCGAAAGATGTTTTTCTTATTACTTATATACAGTAATCTATGATATTAAAGAAATTTCATGTATAAATATCTTAAAGAGAACACTTAATCTACTGAACGAGACTCCTCTGACACGTACAAAATAAAAGGTAAAAGATAAGATTTGATGTTCGATCATTGTGCTAAGGTGACAAATGTTATAAAAACAGAACTGGTGAGTTTCATATAAGATAAGAAGAGAAATAAAATATTATTGCGAGTTTCATATTATTTCAGTTTGTCCATTATATAGTATTTTAAATAAAATATTAAAATAATTTGAAACTTTTAATGAAACTAAACAAATAAAAAGCAATTTCTTATTTTTTTTATTGGATAGTATTGAATAAAGAAGTTGTAATCCTTACCTTTTTTTTCTTTCATGATAGTAATCAGACGCTGACAGATATGCATTCCGATCAGGTGTAGTTTTCTAGTCCGCACTTCTTCGTTTATCCTTAATTGTCCATGTTTACTTTTAATATTTTATTATAAAACAAAATATTTTGCAAGGGTTAGCCATTAGCATCTTGAAGTGACATCTACTATCTTTCATGTAGGGCCGCAACATAATTTAAATTTTAAGGGAGAGCGTCATTCGAGAGAACATTATCACCGTAGAATTTAATTATTAATAAGAAAACAACCAAAAGATGACGAATTCTTTTGTATCAATGCCTCTTAAAATGATATTTTTGGTAGGAGATTTCTTTTAGATATCCATAAAAGTGAGGATGAGTTTTCAATATGTTTAATATTATATTTCAAAAAAATTATCGGAAAAAATAATTTATTTGAGAATTCGTTTTGTGTATAAATTATAAATGAAAAGTTGATCCAAGAATACCATTCAAAGAAAGGTATTCATAAATAGAAAAAAGTATGAAAAAAAGTTGACAACAAGGGGGTGATAGGAGGTGGAAAAAAAATTCTTAGAAAAATGAGATGGAAAAAATTATTTGTCTATATTTGATAGAAAGTGAAGTAAAAATATGACTGAGAAAATTATTTTCCCTTCATTTGTTTTATTACGTAAAATAGTTGAGGAAAATTATCATTAAAAAGGTGGAATTGTTTTCATGTGGTGGAAAAATCAATTCAACATTCCCGGAATAGTAACTTACCCAGAAAAAAAAATTCCCATCATTTTCCCGAAAATTATTTTTTCTCGGTAAAAAAAATCCCATCTACCAAACATCCTCTAATAGGAAACTTATGTAATATTTTCAGTATTATTTCTTATTTATCAAATAATTTTTTGGTAATATTCTCAAAAAATTCACTTTCTTATCATATTCTTAGGAATCATGATTTTCATATAAAATTATTTTTTCCTCTACCAAACGCCTTGAACCAATGTTATTAAAACCGACTCAGTCATTGACCCGGTCGAGGTACTGGGTCACTGATTCAACCAATGGATCACTAGTTGAACTGTATAACTCGGTGATTATATATAAATCTATAATTTATATTAAAAAAATTATAAACATACTCAAATAGCTACAAATATTTAAAAAATGGAAAATTTGAAAAAAAAAATATGTAAAATTACTTCATATTACTTAAAATTTTCATATATGTAATTACTTAGTTGCTTGATAAATATATTGATTGATTGATACTTATATTAATCATATGAATCTGTTCGAATAATATTACAAAGCATGTGGATTGATAACAGAATTAAAGTCAGAAGAAACTGGCCCAGGCCTGATTTGTTGTTCATAGGAATCAAACTGATCCGTAAACCTAAATGTTATTTTAAAATTTTAAATATTTTGATAAAAATTAATTTTAAGCTTTTTAATACGAGTTAATTAAATGTTTATTTAAAATTAACATATTTAACTTTAATTGCATAAGATTGGGTTGGGTTAACAATTTATCTGTCTAGTATGCTAGGCTTGTTAGGGATCTACCTGCATTTAGCCCATTCCACAGTGAGGTGGTCTGAATGGGCCAGGTTAGCTCAAATTGACTCTTATATGATGTGGTGTGAATTTTTTCTTGATATTTGCAATGTTATATTATAATGTGTAAGTGTATACCTAAACATGGAATTGCTACTGGTCAAATGCCATAAAATTAGGGTGGAGGAAAAGCGAGTTCGAAGGAAAGAATTTTCTTGAATCCAATGTTCTTTACATCCATCTCCTAGCCTCGTAGGTATGTCTGGTATGCCAATTATAAGTGGAAAATAAAGAAAAGGCCGAAGAATTGAACTTATTCCTTATTTTGAATGTAGAAAATATTATAAAAAGACTTGGATGTATGCATTTTCTGTGGGCCCGCATAGTTGTGGGACGAGAAGCATCTATTCTTTTCCATTCAAAGATATCAAACAAGGGAAGTGGTATTCCTTTTTTTCATATCTCTCATATGATACCAAACAACCCTTCAGGTTTGTTTGTTATGAAGTTTTTGAGAAAAAAGAAAAAGGAAAGGAACCAAAAGATTACATCCATCCCTTGTTTATTATGCGTTTGTGGATGCAAATAAAATGATTTAAAGGAGTGACATTTCCATGGGTCTCACTATTTTTTTCATCCTTCCCTTATTGGATGGAAACGAAAGGAAGAGAAAAAATTTGTGATCCATCATCATACATTTCTCTCTTACTTTATTTTATTTTATTTTCTATCATACTCATTTCCTTTGCTTTCCCTCCATGATACGAAACAGACCTTTATGGGAAACATTGGGAGGAAAAGAAAAATGTTTTTGTGGATCTCACTTTTTTTTCTCACTTAATCCATTTTATGTCTTTCATGTAAACTAATCTTATTAGATAACAAATAATAAAGTAACTTAATATTTTTCTGCACATATTTTCATTCTTTTCCTTATGAAACCAAACAAGGAAAAGAAAGCATCCACACTGACTCCCCCACTTCCCTCTTCCATTATTTTCTCTTATTTTCTATGGTATTTTTCTTTTCTTTTCTTTTCTCCTGTGTGCTAACATAGAACTTAAATTTTTTATTTTGGAATGTGGTTTAATTAGATTTAAGTAAAAAAAAAATTTGTAGAAGGAGGGTAGGGTGAGACTGAGAAATTGGTCAATGCATGATGTGAAATGAGATTTGGGATGGAACTGTAGGGTAGGGAAATTGAGTGAGGGAATATCACCTTGACACCTTTGAATCAATAAACCGAACGAGACCTACCCCAAACATATATAGCTGCTTCTAATTTGTGGGGAATGGAGAGGGATGGTACTAAATAACATAGCCCAGACAGCAATGAGCCAACAGAACTTTGATATTGGCCCATATTCTCCTTTGCTCTTAAAGGGAATAAATTATTAAGTGTTATTCTAAAGAGCTTTTGTTTATGGGCCATTTTATCTCAAAAGCTCTATCTTTCCCATATCTATCGTACATGACCTCAGTCTGAATGATATTTATCCATACAAATGCATGAACTTTGAAGCTAAGACATCAGCATTCAACAACTAAGGACACCTTTCTAGTTTGCACTCCTTATCAAAAGAGTTAAATTTGCAAACTTTGGGTAAGTGATTGCTTTGCTCCCTCCTTTATTTAGTTCATTGGAGGACATTTTAAAGTTATACTACAAAAAAGTTAGCTTAAACCGAACTCAACAGTGACAGCATTTGTTTGATCTAACAGAAAAAACGTCCTTATCAAACCACAACCACATGTCTCCAACCTTTTATAAATATAATTAATAATTAGCATGGAAGTTAATTTACCCTTTTTTATTTTTAATAAGTTGGGTTCTCTTACGCGGATGTGGGTACTTAACTAGTAGCTAATAGAAGGATTGTTAGGTGCCAAATTAGATTTTTAGGATCGATGGGTGAGGTCCACTTTTCTCAATGTTAGGCTAGTGTCCCCACATATGCAAGTTAGTGCCTACCACTTGCTACAGAAAAGCTCCCATAAAGAAGTGCAAATTCAATCTATATTTCTTGTGAGTTGTGATTTGTGATTCGATAGAGGTTACTCATAATTGTTGGATAAAACCAGAAAAAATTGAGATAGACGATAAGAACAAATGAGAAAGGATAAGCACATGCGTCAGCTTCTCATATATAATACAAATAAATTGTGTTGCTTTCTTTTCTTCTCACAGCAGACAATTTTGAAATTGATTTTTGTGGAGTAATTGCATACAAACATATCCAAAAGAATATTAATAATAAGATGTGATTTGTCGTATAACTTATAGATGTTTTATTTACATGTCTTCATGTATTTTTTATGAATTACATAAATGGAAATTTTCAAGAATTTTTTTTTTAAATATTCCAATCAGTTTATCATTTCGCTACTAATTCAATTCAAAACAGATCTAGAATTAAAACTTTAAACTCTTTCAAAAAAAAAAATCGTAGAATATGTTTATTAATGTATCATTCGTTACCTAAGAGATCCAATGATTTTTAAACGTGAACGCGAACAGCTTGGCGTGTGAAGGAGCACTAAACATGGTACGGTGAGCGCGTTTCTCATTAATCTAATAATTTAGCGGGGCCCATAATTTCAAATTTCAGTTTGTTTTGGATGTTTGTTACCGTTGGTGAAGGATCTAGGGCCCAGATTTAAGCTTGGAAAGGGAAATTTCGAACTATATGCGGAGGGACACAAGAAAAAAAAGGTATCTCCGTTTCATAAATATCGGTTTGATAGATTCAATAATTTGCAATCGTGCACCCAACCAAAAATAAATAAATTAAAAGGTGCACAGGATGTTTCATCCCGTTTGTTTCTACAGTTATTCTTTTTATTAAATTAAAAATCATTCATATATTTCTTTATCTTTTTTTTTTTATAAATAATATTTCTTTATCTTTTTAAGCATAGATAGATGTGAATTCGTTAACAAATCAGATAAAATTGAGTTACTAATTTGGCAGTAGCATCCATTATATGTAGAACATTTTCTCATATGTTATTTTCTTTGTTTTTTGCAACTAGAAATGTGGGTGGGGGGAAGAAGTGATGAACGGACAACCGGTGTGCACATTGTAATTATTTGTCAACGCAAGTACATTTGACCAAAAAACAGGAGAATTTTAAAAATCACCTCATAAATGAAACATATTATAAGATGTCAGTGGATATTTATATATATTGTGATAGGGTTTTATTAATATTACGTTACATAACTTAAGTTTTGTTTCCAACACACACAATAAACGGGAGAGAGAAAATACAATGATGAAAGAGAAAGAAAAATATAATCTCACATCTTTAATGTGTGTAGGAAAGTGAAGTTGTGTTATGCTATATAATAAACATAAAATCCATTGTGATATGATAAATCTCTTTTTCACCTTGTCACTGACTGTTATTTTATATATAGGCAAGAAATCTGAGAAGAAAAGTTATTGTAATCCAGGTGCAAGTGCACCTTTTTCAAAAGTAAAAAAAATCACTACATGAAAGGAAATAAACAAAATGATAAGAATAAAAATATCATAAAAAAAAATTATTTTAGGAAAATAGAACACCTAATAATGGTGCACCCGATCCATAATAACTTTTCTCAAATCTGAGAGTAAAATTACTCTGTTAGTTTAACAAACATTCCTACTTCAAGACTAAAGGAAGGTTAAACAATCTTTAAAAAAAAAAAGGAAGGTTAAACAAAGTTTTTATTTAATACCGCATTGCAAGCGACTATTTTTTGCAAATTTATAATGGGGTTTACTTTTGTTATTTAACATGATCACAAAATTTTATTTATACACACAATATTTTGTGGGAATCATTGAAGAAAAAAAAAATTACGGCACGCAGAATAAATTTCTATAACATAACACAATCATTTTTTCTACAACATAATATGATGATTAGGTTGTTCTGAAAATGGTTCATATTAATATATTTTTTCCCTGAAAAATCATACAGGGGTAATATTGGAACTTCGAGAGTTGTTTCTTTTTATATATAAAGTCCAGAGATCCCTGAGAAAAGGGGGAGAGAGAGAAAGACATAGCATTGAAAGAAAAGAAAAACAGAGCACAGGACAGAATTTGAAAACAAAGGCTCAAGTTTTAAGAAGCAAAGATCATCGGGTGTGAGAAATATGGTAGAGGTTGTCTTGCTAGTCGATGATTTGAAATTACTTTCTGGGATATCTCGCTGTAGAATATGTCACGAAGAAGAGTTTGAGAGCTCAAAAAGCTTGGAAGCACCTTGTGCTTGTTCTGGGACCGTTAAGGTGAATACATAATATCTTAAGCAGCTATTGTAAGCTTCTTTTTTTTTTTTTTTTTTTTTTTCTATTTTGGTTTCGGGAGTTTTCTCAATTCTCTTTAGTAACTGCGTTTTTTATTGTTCAGTTTGCTCATAGAGATTGCATACAGAGATGGTGCAACGAGAAAGGAAATACAATCTGTGAAATATGTCTCCAGGTATGAACTTCGATCATCCATTTTCTTTCTTGGTTTTGCACTCTGCATAACGTTTTTTTCGTTTTGTTTTAAGATGTTATAGTCAAATTTTGTTCTTTTTTATTTTTTATTTATTTATTTTTAGTAGGAAAGAGTTATTCGTGTGTACTTATCTTTGGCTGTCGTTATTATGCAATTGGGTGGGCTTCCCTATCTGATTTTGACTTATGGAAACGATGATGGTTTCCTTTCCTCTTTGTTTATTTCGGATTGTGGACTGGTGGGTACTTCTGTATTTGTCTTTAGCTTAGCTTTGCTCAATATTAAAGTCTGTCGGTATTATCATACTATATCTATATCAATGCTTATTTATGAACACAAATTGATAGGTTCTTTTCTTCTTCTTTTTGTTTCCAGAAATATGAACCTGGATTTACAGCAAGCCCAAAGAAGGCTCAGATAATTGATGAAGCAATGTCCATTAGGTAGTTTCCCATAAAATATATATATATGCCGCGTTCAATTCAATAAAAGTGGACTTACAACTAATTATTTAATCAATTATTTATGTGAAGTCTTGACAACGTTGGAGCGACTAATGATATATATATTATTCAGAAAAGCTGACGATATTAAAATTGATAATGTTTTTTAAGGAGAGAGCAAGAAGCGTCAAACGCAAGAATAGAGGCTGTGGTTGAAGGAGTTGCAATAGAAAGAGATTACTCTGAATGCAGCTCTGCCACTGACAGAAACGCGTCTTGCTGTCGATCACTGGCATTAGCTGTAAGCATTATGCATATTTACTTCTTCTTCTTTTTCCCCCATTTTGCGCTGCGATTCTTAAACAAATTCATATTATTTTTAATGGTAGTGAAGGCAACTGGTAGTGTGGTCGGTACAAACATGCCTTTTGTTGAGAATAACGAGTCAAAGTCGACTCAGGTTGAATGCCATTATTGCCCATTGGATTGCCAGTTGCGTTCAATGGGGGTGCCAAACACTATATTTCCCTTTAACCTATTGAGTAGGAAGACTTTTCTTTTGAGTGCTATTTTCAACTGCGGTTGCGGATTTCTCCCAACCTATAATGAATTCGCCACTCGTTCGATGGTTGGCAGATATTGAACTTGAGCACTCTTGAAGTAGTTAAATTCAAATTGTATGTGATCATATAGAGATGTCGAAAAATAACGAGCTACTTTACTTCTGCAGTTTACAGTTGTATTACTTGTAAGACATCTTTTCGCAGCGCTTACAAATGGAACGGAAGATTACCCGTTTACACTTCTTACAGTAAGAACTTATTTTACAATTTTAAAACATTACATAATCTTTGCCTTCGACCAACCGAGCTAATGGAACTTCATATACTAATTGATGCAGGTCATTATACTAAAGGCTAGCGGAATTATTATACCCATGTACATAATTATCAGGACGATCGCAGCCATTCAGAACAGTGTTCGGCGCCACTATCAGGATTCTGGCCACGACACATCAATGTCTGATGAAGATGACGATAGTGAGACAGTGCATAATGCAAATTTGAGACATTCATAGGTTATTTGCTTCAATGGGTATCAGAGCATTATGATGATACTCGTCAAATTCCAACATTTTGCGGCAAACATGAAAATGGAAATCAGATCGAAATACATCTTCCCCGACCGCCGACCCGCCCAAGAATGACAGATTAAATCTTCAGTCTAAGAATCAGCTTCACCCATATATTTCAGAAGAATCAATATTCACTCTCTTGAAATAATTACATATTTTGTAAATTCTCTCCTAAAAAATCAAACATTTAAATTTTAAATTTAAATTCCTTAATGTTATTCATTTTTTTTAAAATATAATCGGACTTTTTCTTTTAACTATTTCTCTCTTTTAATTTACATATAACTTGCAAAACAAGTATTCCACAACCTGCTAAATGAGTACAGCGGGCCAGCATTCAATTTGTTAGTTGAACTCATACCAACACATTCACTTAACTTATTTACAAGCACAGGGACAACAAAACAGATGTGTTGGACAACAAAACAGATGTGTTGGACAACCAACAAAGAAAGCAAGACACGGCCATATCCTATCAGGATTTGATATCAACTTTGAATATGGCCATAAAAGTAATCTTGCTTTCTGAAAAAATGAAATACCATTTCTATGGATTCTCAATTAGTTTAACATCGCTGCAGTAGTTCTCTTGCTTTACTCTGAAGCTCACTTAGGGAACTAATGTAAATGGTTTCCTCGCAACTCGAATTTGTAGCGGCATTATTCAATTTTTGTATGATCACTTTTATCTCATCAACCCAATTTTGATTGGGAGAGTTTGTTTCAGAAGACGCCTTTCTGCATTTACCATAAGTGACCTCAAATTCTCTGGACTTGGCAGCAGCCTTCTGAAGCACAGAAGTTGGAAGTCCTGAAACAAAATTATTTTGCTTTATTACAATAATATTTGGCTAATAATGGATTTGCATGAAACATGGCAACCCATATTGATATATATTTTGCGAGATTGTCAGCCTCAAGTTTAAGCTTTCAATATAGCATGGCTGGAAAAAGACTCAAATATATAGAAAGCATCAAGTTTAAGGTCCTAGAGTTCAACATTCAATAAACCAAAAATTAATGTAATCCACAGATGTATGGATGTTGGTGAACATGTTGACTGTCAATGTTTGTGATAGTTTAAAACGACAAAGAAACATACCTGCTAACCGAGCAACATTAACACCATAGCTCTTGGGGCAAGCACCACGGGTCAGCCTGTAAAGAAAGGTGACTTCGTCCAAACCTGCAGTTCCACCACCGACTTGACATCCCATGTGGCAGAGACAGACCTTTACAACAAAATGCATGAAAAGCTAACTCAGAAATATAATTAAGTTTCTTGAAATTGAAACACTAACCAAAATGGCAGGTAGAAGAAATTACAACACTAGAATGTAAACTTTCTATAGTATATCATATCTAAATAGGTCGTGACTGGTGATCTGGTAGGCCATCAAGTATAGCAACAAATATGAGCTAAAAATGTTTTTTACAAGCATCAGAGGATGAATTCAGCATACCACTGATAATTATCCTGGATAAAAATGTTGGGTATACCTTGGGATCTTTGAGATAATCTATAGCTAATCGATGATAGTGTGTAGAAAACAATCCACGACACTGCACCTTCCGCACAAGATGTTCTAATACTGATTCCCTGACAAATATTTGAAATACACAAAGCAGAATCTGAGAAGGACTGACCAGACGTTGGAAAATCAATCATGAATACTGAAACCATTGGGGACAAAAGCATGTCCAACTAATCCCAAAACAAACACTTACGCAATGGCTTGCCCATCAGAAGTTGAGGTCCCACGCCCAAGCTCATCCAGAGCCACCAATGAATTACGAGTGGCTGACGACTGCATTTACAGTCAAAAGTACATATTCAGATGGAACACTATACAAGCAAAAAAGTGTTCATATACATCTATAATGCATAACAAACAAAATAAAGGGGGTTTAAACAGCTGCATGATACAAAGACATGAAACACACAACCATCGCATTACAGATGGAACACTATACAACTGAGTAAGCTCTAAAGAAAAAAAGATCAAGCCAAAAGTTTTCTTCCACCATGTTGTGGCGTTGCTGGTTATGTTTTCGAGAAAAGATGTTTATCATAAACCACACAGAATCCAATCATGTTCAACAGAAGAAACAGACCATGAAATATAACTTTTTTTTCAGTTTCTGTTAGTAATTTATTAAGCAGCCTATAATAAATGGACAAATTGATTTAAATCAATAAAGATAAGATCCTAAATCTGTCTATTGTTATATGCCTACTTAACCCAAATTACATGTTATACAGATTGATACTCAAAGAGGCATCTTACCAGCATTGTTGCAGTTTCTGAGAGCTCGGTTAAAAATGTACTTTGGCCAGCCATGATATTATCTTTGGCACCCATTCGAACAAAGATTCGGTCCACAGGTGACAAATCAAAACTTTCTGCTGGGACATCAGCCCCTACCTGCATAAGAAATTAAATGAGTAACTCCAAAGGTAAAACTTAAAAGAAAAGCTCACTTAAGACAAGTCTCCGAGGGCTGAGGCCAACCCATCTTCCACACAACTGCCCAATACTAGAGGTGTCAAAACGGGTCGACACGACACGAATTCGACACGACACGAATACATCAACACTAACACGACACGAATTTTTATTCGTGTCAAAATCTTCAACACTGACACGACATGAATTTTTTACGGGTTGACACGGCACGACACGAATAACACGCAAAATAGGGGTCAAAATGATAGTTGACAAAAAATTTAAAAAAATGGATCGATATTAAAAAAAATTAAAATAATAATAATAAAAAATTAAAAATAAAATAATTTAAAAAAATACGGGTCGACACGAACACGAATACATCAACACGAACACGACACGAATTTTTTACGTGTCATTTTTCCAAACACGAACACGACACGAATTTTTTTGCGGTTCAACCCAAACACGAATTTTTGTGTCGTGTCGCGGGTCGACCCGCGTGTCAAAACCTATATTGACACCCCTACCCAGTACCCCTCAGCCAAAGAATATATAAACAATGAGAAAAGTAAGCAACGTGACTTAAGCTTCACCTGGGCCAAAATCACAGCCAAGCAAACTTGGCGAAGAAGAGTTGACTTCCCACCCATGTTAGGACCTGTTAGAAGAATAAAGCCAGCATCATGTGGACCACCAATAGTTATATCATTGGGTACAAATGCACCCTTGCCCAAGGAATCACTCCTAAGGACTGGGTGTCCCAAACTTTTAGCATGGAGGAATGGAGCTTCTTTTGAACATAATGTGCCTACAAAACTTGGTCTGCATGTTGATCCTTCATAGTAGTCACTGGCAATAGCTAAACTGATCAAAACATCCAGTTCTGCAACATGTGAATGTGTCATCCAGTTGAAGCCATATAAAAGAAAAGCTTTTGATTTTCAATTTAAATGCAGGAAAAATTCATCTTGTAAAAATTCGTAAGGAAACACGTATTGAATCAAGGTAAAAGGCCAAAAAAAGAGAAATTGATTTCAGCTGAAGAAATATAGTTTGTTAACAACAGGCATTATACAAGAGTAAAAGGAGAGCATACACTGCTGACAAGCATCTTCCCCAATTATGCATTTTTTCTTTTAATCTGGTAGTTACCTTAATATTGAGTAGAAGATACTTGGTTGAAGTTTATGTATATTAGATTCCCTTCATGGGCAACTGGAAAATCATTATTTTGAAAATAAGGTTTTACTATATTTCAATTTATACATTTGATTGCAATACAATACATCAACGATCTTAATAACCACTTATGAGTTTTAGGGGAAGTATTAGTAAGTAGTAACTGGCTAATTGCACAGGCATGTACCAGCAGTTGCAGCCACCAACTGCTTCCATTTAGTGTGATGTTCACAAAAGCGCCCAATTAATCTCTGCAATGTACTTTTCAATAAGGACTCTTTTTCAGATTCGGCTTGGGAGAGCTCTCTCAAAAACTTTTTAATATCTGGAGTCCAGTACCTAAAGAAGCCCTGCATGTGGCAGATGGGAAAAATGAGAAAAAATCACAAATGTTGACAGACATAATTGCTGACAATAATGTATCACGGACTAACTAAAAATTTCACAGGGATTAATTTTTTAATAGTTAACAACATAACATATTTGTATACACTAATGTACAAAAATAGCTTGGGATGAAAAATATGCAGGACTACTTAAAGTAGAAGCCAACAAACAACGTAATATTACTGAAGACTCAATCACAGAAATATAGGAACCAAATTAAATAATACTGCATAGTTGTGTATTTAATTCACATAAATTTTTCAGACCATTATCTTCTTACTTTTCTGGATGAACGCAGCTCATAATCCCGAGGAATATTCCCAGACAAATTTTCTGGCACTTCCAATAGGTATGCCTCCTTTCCAATATTAACGTAAGTGATCTGTAATAGACAAATAAGAACATTCAAAAACTGATTTTCTGCACTATAAACAAAATTAAACTCCAATTGTTTCCATTATAGGTCTTAGTCTTACTGATGTGTCTCCAAGTAATTTCCTTTGTTCCTTGAGATGCTTTAATAGACTGGACTCAATCTCTTTTACAGCCTTACTGGCTGAGTCATATTCTACGTCGACTCCTTCATGAGGTATTATACGCCCAGAGTCATTGGCTTCCACCCAATCAAAGGCATCCTTGAAATGATTAAGATCCGTGCAAACATCAGGAAAACCTTTACCTACAGTTGACAGCATTCAATACATCAAACAGTAGCTCCAGAGTAACTTTATAACATATGTTCATTGAGATAATCATACCAGGTGTTAACAGATAATTAAGTAGTCTAGATTTAACATTATTCAAAATGACACCAAGTGAAGAGCATGCATGTGCCATTAGCTCACAACCACGCAGAGCTGAAATAAACTCTTGTAGTTGTTTCTTTGCTGCATCCTCATAAAGTACCACTTTATTAGCGTTCCTTCCACTAACTTCACTACAATCATGAAAATCAAGGCGCATAAATACTTTAGAAGAAGATGATGATCAGTATGGTCTGTATAAACATCATACATAGTTGTTGCACAAACACTTTACCTAGTAGAGAAGATACGTGCAAGCAACCGCTCCATGTCAGGTAGTTTTGATAGTGCTTTTCGAAATTCTAGTGCAGAAGGTAGATTAACTCCCTGAAAAGAAATCATATATCAACAAATAATATTATGTACTGATTTTGTATCTGATGATTATGATCAGTTCAATCTAGCCAAGGTATCGTTTAGTAGATGTCAAACTGTACATCACAGGCAACTCTTTTATCTATGTCGAAAAGCAACGTAAATAGAAAAGCAGATTCCTGATTATGAGCTTAAAAGAAATACTCCATATTATATTACTGAACAAGCAAATCAAGAAAAATGCTACGCCTGGGATCTACGTAGAATGAGAGGGATAGGGTTGGTGGGGTTCCCAGAGAAAGAAAAGGTTAGCAATTGATAATGCCATAAACATAAAATAAATATGATAATGGCGATCAGTGTTTTACAGATTTATTTCAAATGAGAATAATTTCCCATGACTGGTGTTAGTTATACATGTCCAAAAAGAGATACAAAAAGTTAATTGAGCATTCAAAAGGGGGACAAAACGAAAGATAATATCTAAGGAAAATACAGAAGAGAACAAATAAGTATAGCTAACATAAAAAATCAAACATTTAAGTATTGAACAGTTTTAGAGCCCTGATAGATTTACCTAGTGTATGACATTAAAAAAAGAGACCTCTAAAAAGATTCATTGTGTCTTAAAGGATTCACCAGAATCAGAAGCAAAATGCATGGTCAATAAACCTACCTTCAAACCAGCAACAGCTTCCTGGCGTTCCTTAATTGACTCCACATGAGATAATGGTCTTGCAAGCCATGTCTTTAGCAATCTCTTTCCAAATGCAGTAACACATTGGTTTAATTGAGCATAGAGTGTGCTACAAGATAATAATCATTTCATTAAAATATAATAAATTACCCATCTTGTCTAAAAATAGAAAGAGTGAAGATAATCAAATGACAAACATACCCTGAAGAATCTCCATTTCTGCTATTCTCAAATATCTCAAGATTCTCCAGGGCTGCTGCATCAAGAACCATGTATGGTTTTGAAGCAAGATCACAGAAACCAGAACATGGAAGTAACTCAAATTGTGCATATCTAAGCAACCTCTCATCTAGGAAAGCCTGTTTCAGATAATAGAGAGCACCGCCTAACGCAGAAAGTGCAGTTCTACTGTCATCACATGTTTTCACCAGCTCCAGTAAAACACCTGGCAGGCAATCTAACCCATTATCTTCAACACTAACATCATTAGTGTGCCTGTAAATTCTCTTCAACTGATCAACAGTTTTGTCAGCATCCCAAAATTCCAGAATTGGAACTAATTCATTCACCAGAGGATTTCTGGTATGCTTCAGCAGTACTCTCTCTGTTTCAGCACTGAGCAGTTTAGCAGGTTTAATAATTTCAACTGGCCTGATCTCAGACAAGATACAACACAAGGCACTGCACTCCAAGTCGTCCTTAAACTGCCATACAGAGAAGCCAACTCTATTTTTTAACATAAGTGATAACAAAAACAATTAGCAGATCAATTAGGTAAATGTTTGCTGGATTGCATATTATGCTCACTTTCCAATTAAATTCATGAAAAATTATAAATGATAGCAAATCCCCAAAGCAATCGGAGGAATGACGCAAGCAAATGAATATTGAATATTTGAGCAGACATATTACAAATATAAAGTTACCAGCACAAATCCTTGAAATACCAATCCCCAACCCCCACCCGGCTAAATCTCCTCTCTTCATTCCCAATACAGGTAAAGGAATTAGATACTTCACAGCTTGATGACATTTGCAGATCTCATCCAAGATTTGGAAGAAGTTTATGAATGTGCAAATTTTGACAGAGAATCAGAATGCATAGTCACACCTGTCCAAGAATGACTCTGCTTGTGGCAACATCAACTACACAAACACCGTAGATATGCTCTGAAATTTCATTTTGATGGTTTTCGTGGTGCTCAGTCAGTGCCATTAAATATGCAGCTTCAGGGTTTGCTGACAGTAACTCCCCATCCATTAATGTGCCTTTTGTAACCACTGCACATATTTCACGTCTCACAACCTAGAAGAAAATTAGATGTCAAGATTAGAGATCACTGTTCCTCTATCAACACGCAGAACCATCAAGAGCAATCTCAAGCTAGAAAGAAAAAAAAAAATTGTAAAATAAAAAAGATACAAAACAGGATTCAAAACGGACTAGAAGGCACAATATAAAATACAAAGAACAAAAACAATGACTTTTCTGGTGAATGTGAGGTCTTATTCAGACCTTGTCTTTAGAGCCCTTCTGCTTGCGACGAAGCTCCAGCTGTTCAGGTGTTTCAGTCTGCTCTACAACAAGAACTCGATAACCCTGCCCAGCCATGACAATTGAGTAAGTTCCTTCCCAGTTGCAATTGGCTTGTTGGACATGTTCATTAGTCCAGTAGCAGAAATAAAATAAGAAAATAAGTCATTTATGAGGCAAACCTTCCTAGCCAGTTTCTCCGCATTCATTGAGAAATTCTTCTCTGGAAATCCACAATGAGGTTGCTCTCCCTAAAAGAGTCACACGTAAACCAATAAATATGTATGATTCAGGGTAAGCAAATGGATAATCTTCAGATTCTAAAAAAAATTCACAACTCTACAGTACTCATACTAGCCTTCATATACTGCAAGTCAAGCTCTTTCACCCCTACATGTGCATCCATCTCAAAAAGCTCATAAAATTTACCCATCTGCTCCAACAAAAGAAACAAAAAGGTTTCATTTGTTTGTCAGGGAAGGGCTAATGGAACCAACAGAACTTAGACAACTTAAACCTTGAAAAACAAAACTTTGTCCATATGCTTTGACTTGAATTCCCACCATTGTTTCTGCATTCATCAAATAACTAAATTAATTGAATGCACCATAAAAAATTTGAGAGTTCCTCCCTACTACTTTAGCAGGAATTACCTGGCCATCTGACAAACTCCTTAAGAAATCGGGAGGCAAGTAGAGAGTTCTTGAATCATAATTTTCATCTCCTGGACGCCTTCGCTTGGCATCCCTGCGATCTCTGTACCAAAGACCATATGCATACAAAGCACCATAAGATTATAATATAAACCAACAAATTAAATGCCAGAAAAAAAAAATGACATAACAGCTAATAACTGCATACACACAAAATGGTGTGCCATCTTGATCCTTTTTAGAAATAAGAAAGGAATTTTGGCATAGAAAGACAAGCAGAAAATCCACATCCCTATAGTTGCACTCACTCTCTTAGGAAACGGAATTTCTGAGCTTCGCGAACTGCAAATCTTTGAGAGACATCATCAGTTGCAACATTGTCAACGCCAATAGATGTCTTTTTAACTGCAAAGTGCAAAGACGTGATTTAAATTATAAATAGCAATATATATTGATCTCTGCATTTCAGTTGGCTAGTGACATCGTCGGATGGAATAAGAAGGAGCATCTTGCAGTAATGCCAGAGAAGTAAAGACAAAAAATTGCATAAATTAAAGATTCCGAATTTAGCATGTGAGTCCTAAATATCGTTGGAGAAACAATTACTAGAGTGGCTTCTTGCATCTAATTTCTCCAATCTAACTATCTTTGCTTTTCCTTTTTTGGTTTTCTCTTTTCGTTATGAAATCTTCCTCATCATCATACTGTGTTTTTGTCCATTTCATTCTTTATTTGACAAACAACATAGGCTATTTACTTCTAAATTTGAAAACTCCCAGATTTAACGCCCACACTCCCCACCGCCAACAAAAAATAAAATAAGAGGAGCAATATTTGAATGTCAAAATTAATCTCAGAAATTTCAAAAAGGGTTTCAAAAGACAGAGATTTAAAAAGAGGGGGAATTATCCAGGGCACTTACTCTCCAAATTACATGTAGGCTCCAATACTGAGAGCTTGAAACCTCCCTTACCACCTTCGGCTCCGTCCTTGCTCCTTTTTGAAGGCTCTAGTTTCCCTGTTCCAATTAATTTCCGCTTTTTGGGCTCAACCTTCCCGCTAGGCTTTCCTTTATCCCTCTCTGCTACATGGCCTTCGTCCTCTAATTCCATATCTTCTTCTTCACCATTACCAGAATCTTCAAATACAGCATTCTTCCCCCAATCTTCATCGCTGGAATCATCATCTTCTTCTTTGCGACTCTCTTCTACCTCATCGTCCTCAATCACCATCTGCCTAATAGATGGAACACCACGACGCAGCCGTTTAAGCTTCTTCGAAGAGGACTCCTGAATCCACTCGATCTTCTCCTTAGAAAGGTCGAGGGATTCCTCTTCGTCATCGTCATACTGAACCGAATGCTTGGAGGAAACGTTATCGAAAGATTTGACAAAACCTTCGTACCAGGCTTTGTCCAAAGGCCAATAAACCTTGATCCTCCTGCCAACGACCTCTTGACCGAAGAGAGAAGACGGAGTGGATGGTGAAGAAGAAGCGCCGATGAGAAGAAGTGGCTTATGCGGTTTGGGATTGCAAGGGGAAGGTGTGGTAGGGCTAGGGCTAGTGCTAGGGCTAGGGTCTGGAATGGGATTAGGGTTTAGTTTTTGTTTGGTGTTGGAGAGAATGGGAGAAGGTGAAGTGGATTTGGAGAAGAAGGAAGTGATTTGACGCTGTGGATTGACGAGCGGTGATCGACCATTGCTATTGCGACGCGAGGAAGCCATTGCTGTGTGTTGCAGAAACAGTGAGAAAATGAGTCAGGGACAGGGAATTGTAATTATAAAAGGTGGCGGGAAATGCTTCTCGCGCGTGGCGGGAATTCACTACTATATAGCTTCTGTTGCCATTCCTCATTGACTTAATGAGCATTGAGCGTCAAAAAAAAAAAAAGTATACTATACATTTTTATTTTTATTTTTGTGTTAATCTTATAATTGCTCCAAATTTTGCTTGAATGATAGCGCTTATTAATGTGTAGAAATATTATAAGGTATGTGCGAGAAACAAATGTTTACGCTGTGTTATTCAACCTATGTTACACCGACACAGACACGGGACACATGATACGATACGATACTCTGATACGTTAATTTTAAAAAATGTTAAATTTTGACATGTTAGGACACGTTTTGATATTATATAATATTTTTAATTTATGTAGTGTATATTATATTTAGTATTCAATAATTTAACAAAAAATAAAGTTAAACTTTTAATTTTGCAAAGAAACATAATATATCCCAAATATTTATATTAAACTCAATAAAATTATAATTGTAATCTAACGATTTTAATAGTTGAAACTCAAAATACAATGCAACATAACATTTGAATCTTTTTTAAGTATTTACAATAAATATTGAAGTGTCGAAAAGTATCACCGTATCGATGTATGTCAGACACGACACGTCAGAATTTTTAAAGTGTCGATGCTTTATAGTATTCAATTATGTAAACATTAATGTTTACACTTCCATGACTCCTTGGATCTTGTTGAGGCCTGGCCCATAACGTTCAGCTCCGTCCAAAACGCAATACAGCACATAGCAGGAGTTCGCTTATGGGCTTAAGGCAACTTCAGAATTGATTAATTGGAGGGAGAATATTATATTTATAAAATTTTTTCTATAAACTTTTATAAATTATATTATGTCTGATCGGTAATACATTCTTGAGTAGAGTATTACTGGTCAGGTATAGTGTGATTTGTTTATAAGTTTATAAAAAAAAAGTTTGTCAACATAACTCTACTGTAATTGGAGATCTGATTTTGTTTGTAACACACATTTTTTTTTTTTAATAATGACGGCACTTCCTAGCATAGTTATTAAAACCGGACCGATTCGGCCGGAAACTGGTAAACCAGTCATATAACCGGTCCGGTTAAAGCAACAGACCGGCCATGTATGCGACCCGGTCTGACCCGGTTGATTTTCATAAAAAATTGGTGACCCGGCCCGGTCCAAAAATTTTTTTTCCAAAAAAAATCATAATGGACTTATTTGAATATTTTTTGTTTATTTACTTACATAAGTTATGTACATACAACACTAATATTATCTCAATTATGTACTATGCAGAAAATTTTGAATTAATCTATAGTTAGATATGTACCTTTCTGAACCTAAAGTCCCGTATTGCAATCATTATATTATTATTTGATCTTTTATTGAATAATAATATGTGATTTATTAATTTTTATATCAAAATATTTGAATTTTTTATCATTTTTTTAGATATTTAAATATATTTATAATTTTTTAATATAAATTATAAATTACCGGATTATGCGATTGAACTAGTAATTCAGTATCTCGACAAAGTGAATAAGCGGGTCGATTTTAATAAGATTCATTCCTAGTATTATACTTATGACTTGGATCAGGGAGAATGTAGTTATGACTTGGATCAGGGAGAATGTTTTCAGAAAATTCTTTTAGAACATAGTACACTCACTGAAAATAGAAACACACGATAAGAAAATGGATATAAATGGAATATAAATTGATTTTTCAATCTATTTGTATCAACCTTCTTAAAATTATCAATCAGTATTAATGTAGTATCTATATTGTTAAATTTAAATAATGATCAAGATCTCGTGTCAATATTCATTTTATTTTTGCAGTATTATTTTCTTAATTTTTTAGAAATATTTATTTTCTTTCTCAAGACAATATTTCAGATTACACTTGTCGCAGCGTAACTACCGAGTTTGGGCAAGATTTCAAAGTTGGGAAAATTTTATTTGAAACAGTGTGCCGGTTTTCTGACAAGAAACGCGTGTTTCGCCAAGACCATTAAATGTTATTCAACAGATGTAATAGGAAAGTTGCTACGTGACCAATGACCATGCAATAAGCTTAATTATTTTTTTAGTAGAATAAATATATAGAAAGATTATAGTTCTGGATGGCATGAAAAGAAGCATATTTTCATTGAGCCTGGGATTCAGCAGTACAAAACTGACGGTGATTGGAGTACGAACAGGAGATTACACAGTGCACGGTCGAGGATTGACTATTATTTCAATTTCAGGTTTTGCGCTCCTCTCTGTCTTTCTCTACATAATAATGTTTTATTTTCTCTTCGAGGACAAATCGTTCTCGGACTGAAGCGTCATCAAACTAGTTGCAACACCAACACTACCAAGAAAAATGAACAAACAAAAATTCTTTCATGTATGAGGTGCCATAATTGCATATTCAGTTTTTATGCCTACATACACCTTCAAGAATAGATAAATATCCGTAATTGTGAAACTGGATTTTGATTATTGTACGGCTCTTTGATTTTTCTCATTTTTTTAATTTTCCCTTCAATTAATTCTTTGTTTATAATTATTTACTTTCTATCTCTCTGAATTTTTGATTTTGAGAATATTAAGTACCATTCAGACTTTTCCTTTTAAAAAAACAAACAAACAATTGAAGAGTTTAGAGAGAGAGAGAAAAATAAAAGCTACCCCCGCCCATTTACATTTTAAAGTTAGAGTATCTTTTAAAAAATTCTCTTGATTAACTTTGCTTGTTGTACGATCATGAGTTTAAAAATAGTCAAAACACCCTAAGTTTACTAAATTTGTTAAAAACCCTTGAGTTCTCCAAACGTGTGAAAGAAATAAATTTCATTAGCAAAAATATGCCCCCTAACAATATCACTCGAAATCACGATTTTTTTTTTTTTTTTTTTTTTTTGTGAAACCACTGTTTCTGTTTAGCCTTTGTATTATTTTGGTTTAGATATGAAATTCAAGATCAATTTTTTTACATTTTTATATATTTGTGTCATAATTTTAAATTTTAATCTAATATTTAGAATTTTGATGATTTCAATTATCAAGGATCTTGTGTTAGATAAGTATAAAACTATTAATGGAGTCTCACCCAACAATTTAAGCTTTTAGATATAATTGATTTTCTATATAATATTAAAACCTCAATATCAATACTATTAATGTAGTGTCACCCAACCCCTTCAATTTTTTGAGTTGAATTTATTCTTTACCTCTTATTTTTTGGTAAGTGTGATATTTCCATAAATGAAGTTCATATTTAATGAAGGGAAGTTTATTCATTTGTGTTTCTTCTTATTCTTCTTCTTTTTGGCATATTTACTAAATATCAAGGTTTTTTCAATTTTTCTTTTAGACTTAGTCAATTGCACTTTGCACGGATAGGATATTGTAACAACCAATTAGTGTTACTACTAATGTTACTAACAATCAATTTCATCGTTAGATCGATTATGTTGATCCAACGGTTATATTTATTTCTATTTTTGTATGGTTATGATTCCCCATATTTAATGTGAAAGCATTAAATATGAGAAATCATAACCATACAAAGGTAAAAATAAATATAAAGTATTAAATATGATGAATCATAACTGTACAAAGATGGAAATAAATATAACTGTTGGATCAACATATACAATCTAACGGTGAAATTGATTGGTAGTAACACTAGTTGGTTGTTACAATATCCTTCCCCATAAATTTAACAGTGAATCTTTACATTTTATCATTAATCTTAGAGGTAGGATATTGTAACAACTAATTAGGATTACTACCAATGTTACTACCAATCAATTTCACCGTTAGATCGATTATGTTAATTCAACAATTATATTGTTTTCATCTTTGTTTGGTTATAATTCTTCATATTTAACATTTTATATTTATTTTCACCTTTGTATATTATGATTTTTCATATTAAATATGGAAATCATAACCATACAAAGATGGAAATAAATATAACCGTTAGATCAAAATAATCAATCTAACGGTAAAATTAATTGATAATAATCCTAATTGATTGTTACATTATTTTATCCCCTTAATTTTAATGCTATAAATCAAAGAAAATATTAGGATATGAGTATGAAAATTAAAGAGAAAACTGTACCCAAAAAACAGTAGTAACAGTCATCACTTAAATCAACAATAATATATTGTTAAAAAAATTAACCACCCTATATTGTTAAAAAAGATTATAAAAGAATTTTTTTTTTTTTTTGGTTAAAAGAAGAGGAAAGTTTTTCATTGAATTTGGAGAGACTGAAGTAACAGAGAAGAATACGCTCACAGCTGGTTATCAAATTGGTCAAAAGTCAAAAACCAAATTAATGACATTCAATTACTATCTTTATATTGTTATAATAACAGCAGCATAATTAATAGATACATTAAACGTTATTTATTAGTAAACCATGTTTTGTCGACAAAGTAATAACAGCTATTTATTGAAGACGGTTATACTTACTATTATTTTAGATTTATTGTTCTTATTATTTTATTGATTATCTTTGAATCAATTTGAAATTAACTATTGAAAAATAAAAAAAATTAATCTTCCTTGATTTTAAATTAATCCAACGCAAATCAATCAGGTAATATATAACAATAATAAACTTAAAATAGCAGTAAATATAATATTTTCCTTATTTATATTTCCTGCATTTATAATATTATAGGCTAGCTGCCCTTATTGACTTTTTGACTATTTTGCCCCTCATTAATTAATTAATAACCATTTTACCTCTCACTCAAAATTATCCACCAACATGCCTTTCTTTAATTGATTAACTCATATTTAATCGTTAAATGCTCAAAACAAGCAAAAATGATCGACCCGAGGTTTAATCGATTAAATATCCCGAAATGAGAATAGTTGAAATGAGATCGAGAAATGTAAATATAGGATTTCTGTCGAGGTTTAATCGATTACATATAACTTTTAATCTATTAAATATCCTGAAATTTAATCGATTAAATCTCGGGTCAATCATTTTTGCATATTTTGACAATTTAATCGATTAAATATTTAAGTTAATCGATTAAAGAGGGACAGATTGGTGGATAATTTTGGATGAAAAGTAAAATAATTATTAATTAATTAATAAAGGACAAAATGATCAAAAAGCCGCCCTTATTTATCATAGACATATATGATTAGGATATATAGATTGCCATGTCATATGTTTTAGAATGAATGAGAGGGAAGTTGTTAGTATGATAAAGGGTTAAATCCATTTTATTTTTTTGGGTAAATGGGTTAAATCCATTTTTATTTCTATGTTACATATGTTTTCTTTTTAAATATTTTTTCCTATCTCCCCTTTATTTCTTTCTTTATATTTTTCTTATCTTATTTATTATTTTCTCTTTTTTTCTTTTTTCTTTTTTACTTTTATTTATATATTTTTTATTTTATTATTTTATTATTTTTTTCTCATCAATTTTTTGTAATTTTAATTGTGGTTCAACTACCACCAATGATGGAGTCAAGATTTTTTGTGAGAGGGGGCAAAATTGCATTTATCTTAAAAATCATAATTAAAATAAAAATTATATAATTATTCTCATAATATATAAATCATACCGCATGAATCACAATACAATGTAACATAATATAAATAAAAATACTTAGATAAATTCCATTGGCTATAAAATGAAATATATTTTTTTGTTATATATTGATATTGATATTTCGATAGATATCAAATATCTTCGAAATTGACTGCAAAATGAAATAAATTTTATCATATTTAAATTTACTTTATATCCAATTTTCAAATCCTGATTTTATTCTTCTTATCTTACTTATTTATTATATTTTGATAATTTGATATGTATCAAATCTATTTGAGATTGAGTAGAAAATAAAATCATTTTTGTCATATTTAAATCTATTTTTGTAATCCAAAATCTGAATTCAATTATTCTTATCTTATATATTGATATTTATGCAGACATCAAATATATAGAGATTAACTAGGAAATAAATTTAGGATACCAAAAAAAAAAAAACTAGGAAATAAAATTTACTTTATTATGTTTAAATCTAATTTCTACAAGTTGGCTTCTACTATATATATCTTTACAATATATTTCATATTATTATTGTACTATAAAAATATGACATTTATTATGATTAGTATTATGCATAATTTACCGCTTTTGATGGAGAGAGATTAATTTAGATCATAATAAGACATATTTTTATACTATTCAATAATTTTTTATAAAATGTAAATTTTATCGATCTAACTATTAAATTATAACTATTCGTTACTTTAATTATTATTCATGTAAAAGTATAAAAAAATGAATAAGAATAAAAATGTAATTGAATTTTATTTTATTTTATTTCAAAATGTATATTACGTTAAATTTTTCCTATTTTAATAATAAAGTATTAAATATTTTATATTAACTACTCGTTTTTTTGTTCACACCCTTCCTCCTCCCACGTGTACCCAGTACCCACACACATAAACGGTAAAAAGTTGGCACTTAATTATTGGCACATCTTAATAGTTGATAACTGCTAATTATATGATTTAGATCAACATTGAAAGAGAAAAATAATTATTTTTGGTATCTGCTGGTGGTGAGCAAGATTGAGTTTCCAATAATAAAATATTTGCTGTTAAAAAAGCACCAAATTTACTTAAGATAGAAATTTTCTCTTAAAGTTATACGTACATGATTCTCTGTATATGTTTATTAATTGTTCAATTTTTACATGAAACAAATGAGCATAAATATGTGATTTTTTGATTACGCAGAAACATCAGCTGTGCTTGTTGCTCACAAGATCAATGAGTCTGTACTCGTCAATGGTTTTGTGGCCTTCATCTTTCGTCATCGTGCTGGTATTTATAAAATCATATCATTCTTATTCACATGTTTTCTTATTATCAATCTACGGCGCTAACTTCTTTCTCAATTCAAGAAGATGGTTTGCACTATTGAATTCAAAAAAAGAATCTACCATTTTGATTTGGAACATAAAGAAACCATTTTCACGTTTCTAACGTTATCGATGAAGATTTTTAACTTGTATGTCTATGATTTTATTTTATTTTATTTGCAAGTTAAGCTTATTTGGGATTTCAAAACCCCCCCCCCCCCCCCCCCCCCCCCCAAAACAACAAAAAAAACGATCTTAAGGCTATACTTGACACAGAGAATTAATTACCTAAGAATTGAAGTAGTTGTATGAAAACCGAACACACTGACCAAATTCACTTGGGATATGGTGCCTAAGATTAGTATTCTTAATCAAGTAGACGCAGAGCTCTACAAATATGTTTATTTTTATTTTGACATACCTATTTTTCTGTGTGTTAAAACATTTGTTATAGGCATACATTGTTCTTTTCATATTGCCGCCATGCTGGTATGTCATGGTGACACGTATCGAGCAGCATGTGAATTTGAATTCAAAAAATGTTCTTTCACAATTTCAATCAGAAATTGAGCATTCAGCTACACTGATACACCCTATGAATTCGTCCTCAACAAATTTTGCAAGATTTATGAGTTCAACCCTCAAAACTACTAACATCTCATTCTCTGAGATTGAGACCAAGGTTAGTACATATTACACTGCTTATTCTTAATTCCCATATAATGAGACAATTGAGTTTTGTTTGATTTATTTTATTTTATTATTTTGGGGTTGCAGGTGGCTCCGTTATTATTTCAAGCATTTGAGACGGTTCCTCACTTAGCCCAAATCTCTTACATTGGGATGGATGGTCATTTTTTCTCATATTACACTGATCATGATCAAGCTATGGCAATGTACTCAAACGCATCATCATCTTCGAATTCTACTTGGGGTACCTTAAATACAACCGTATATTACATCCAGCCTGTAAATCGTGACACAGGAGAGTTATATGGGGAAGCCATAAAATCTAATTCCTCTATCAATGCAAGTGGGGTTGCGGAAGCAATTAATAGTTCTTATGGGTATGCTTCTTTGGGAACCAAGTGGAACAATGGTCATGATCTTCTATTCATTAGTTCAGCCAGAATCACAAGAACAGGAGTGATCTCTCTAGGTTTTCCAGCAAAATCAATAACTAATTTTTTAACTCCTATTGGTCATCTAGGTGCCAGCTTGTATTTGGCTACCAAAGATGGCCAAGTGCTTGTAGAAGGGATCCACGATACTCGTATGATCATTTCAAATGATACGGTTTCCTTTCAATCAGTGAATGCAAATGATGATCAAACAAGCACTGTTTCATGCAAAGGTGGAGTGGTTGCTTCAATTTTGAATATTCGGGATGTTGAGTATTTAATTCACTGCTCCCCCATTGATATAATGGGAATAAAATCGGTACGTATTTATCCTTTTACATACATATATATATATATTCATTGAATCTTTCAATAAACGCCCCCAACGTACAGCACATTTACAATTTCTTATATTTTCCCAGAATGCTATTTGTTTTTGCACAATTATATAATTAAATAATATATTCTACACTTTTGGAATACATTTTGACCTAAGCATAAGATACATAGAGTATGGTGTGGCGCGGGGGGGGGGGGGGGGGGGGGGGGGGGGGACAAGAATTTAAAATAAAAATAAAAAAAATAAAAGAGTAATGTCATGCTTAAACGTAATGTGTGTTGTTATTTATCTGAATGCATTATATATACTAGAATTCTAAAGAGTCTTTAGCCTTGAACAAATTAATTAAGTACGAGTCTACAAAATTTACACAAAAGTATATATTTCAAAATTATGTATTAAAGAATAATATAAACCATTAGAAGACCTTCATCCAATACCTTAAGGAAGTGGCGGACCCAAAAAAATTTCTTTATGTTTGCACACTCAGGGCGGGGGTTCGGGGGTGCCGCCCCCGTTTTTTTTTAAAGATCATAATCATGATCTAATTTTTGCTTCCACTTTAAAAATAAAACTTTGGTGAATCAACCAAAGTTTTAAGGAAATAATCGATAATGATAATTAAAAAATAAATAAACACCACAAAAAGACATTTGTAAAATATATTATAATTGTAGGGGTTAATAGATCAAAAACCCACCTTTGTCGATGTCTATTTGATCCAAAGTTGACAAGTTTTGTTTCATAAAAAAACATGAAAAATCCCGTGTGATTCTCCTACACTCTTTACCTTTTTCCTTTTAATCTTCCTATTTTTTTTACTCTACTTGAATCACACACCCTATGTAAAAAAAAAAAAAAAAATCCTCAATTTTATGTCTGCAAGTGCAGACAATGGAACCAACTTAGGTTCGCCATTGTCTTAAGATTTTGGGTTAAATCGATTCTTTACATGGTATGAGAGTTTCAGGGTAAACCAAAAAATGGGTGTGTGAGTTGAAATAGTTCTTTACATGGTATTAGAGTTTCAGGACCATAAGGTCACGAGTACGAGTTCGGTCTTCACTACTCCACGTTTCAAGTCCAAAGAACTCTTATGTGAGGAGGTGTTATAGAGAATTATATAAACTATTAAAAAGATATTCACTCAACCTTAAAATTTTGTGTTGAATTGATTCTTTACACTACTTTTGGAAATGTCTGCTTAGCCTTGATATGGTTATGTTTCAGGTGTATGTTTTGGCTATTCCACAAAATGCATTGGTCCGCTTTGTTCTCAACATTAAGAAAATTGCATTGGCACTATTGACTGTGATGATGGTAACGACATTCATTGCCATAGTCTGTTTTCTATTTATAAATACTAGATCTGCTAGGCGTGAAATGCAGAGTATGAATAAGAGTCTTGCTCTTGCTAAGGCTAGCCATGACATTCGCGCTGGGCTTGCTGTCCTTACTGGTTTGATAGATCAGATGTCATATGAGGAAGTTGTCTCTGGTTCAGAATTACAGACCAACTTAAAACAAATGGATTCTTGTACAAAAGATTTACTAGGTAACATTATTGATTCATCTGACCCAAAATTCTAGTTTTAATATTTTCATTAGCCATTTTTTTTTGTCTTACAACACTTACATTCTAATATGTTGTTGTTTATTATTTTATTATTCCATTTTTTTCTTTTAAGAAAGTGGCATAATGTTTATTTAGTATTTGCTTATGTATTAAAAACAAATTCTTGTAACTTCACTTTTATATATGCTATTTCTATTAATTGGTTTTTTTTGGCCAACCTTGACACAATAATATTGTTGTCTTTTATAATTTTGTTATTCTATTACTTTCTTTTAAAAATTATCATGATGATAATCTTATAATATTTAATGTATTATTTTAATTTAAAATTATTTAAAATTCTCATGACAATTTTATTATTTGTTATCACTATATAACATGCATGATAAGTAATATCTGTCTTACCTACACTTCCACATTTTCGTTTTTTATTTAATTTTATTATTTAAAAATGTATCTTATGGAGAGCGTTTTTAATGCAACAGTCGCGCTGAGTACTGCTACGGTTGTGCTAAAATTATTTCCGTATCTTATGGTTTATATCTCTCATCCATGGATTTCATCACTTAATTTTTTCTGTATTTACTTAACGGGGCATTACTCTAATTTACTTTCTTCTATACATTTAGGACTCTTGAATAATATACTTGATGCAAGCAAAATTGAAGCAGGGAAAATGCGTCTTGAGGAAGAGGAATTTGATATATTCCAACTCCTAGAAGAAGTAGTTGATTTATACCATCCCGTGGCTATGAAGAAAGGAGTAGATCTCGTATTAGACCCTTGTAATGGTTCTCTACTGAGATATTCACGTGTGAAAGGCGACAGAGGAAAACTCAAACAAGTTTTTTCCAATTTACTGAGCAATGCTATCAAATTTACTGATGAGGGGTACATAGCAGTTCGGGCATGGGCTCAAAAGAGCTCAATAATCACTACTAACAGAAACAGCTTCAGGAGACATTTGTCACGCTTATTTTATAGGAAAAATGAGGCACATCGTAACCAAGAATCCATGAATTCAATGCAACAAGATCCGAGTTATATGAATTTTACTTTTGAAGTGGATGATACAGGCAAAGGAATTCCTAAAGAGAAGTACAAATCTATATTTGAGAATTATGTCCAAGTCAAAGAAACTGCTCTTGGTCAAGGAGGAACTGGCTTAGGACTTGGTATTGTGCAGTCCTTGGTACGTTGGGGAAGGATTCGGTTACAATTTTTTTTTACGAAATTACACTTACCAGTCACAGACATAGTGTAGTTTGTAAGAGTTTATAAATAAAAAGTTTGTAAATATAATATTTTCAATAATTATAGATAGGTTTACAAATTAATTGTGAATTATAAGTTCACTTTGCCACAAATTAACTCCCTTAATAAATTAATAACTGATCTAATTTTCTCTCTATAGGTACGTTTGATGCATGGAGATGTTGGAATAGTGGACAAGGATATTGGTGAAAAAGGGACATGCTTTAGGTTCAATGTGGTCCTTACTGCATGTGAGACAGGGACGGAAGGTAGCACAAGAGAAGGCCAATTTGTATCAGGTGACAGAACCATTCACACTAATAGTTCTACTTCAAGCACTTACTCCATGACTACTCCTAGGTTACTTAATCGCAGCCCTAGTCCTAGACCCGAGGCTTCTAGAGTTGTTCTTTTGATTCAAGGCGAGGAGCGCCAAAGGACTACACAAAGGTTCATGGAGAGTTTAGGGATCAAAGTTAAGGTTGTGATACATTTGGAAGATCTTTCTGACACTCTCATGAATATCAAACAAAAGGGGAAGGGGAACCATTCCAATAGCCAAAGTTGTTCTCCGTTTGCATCTCATAACTCTACTAGCAGAGCCGCCAGAGGAGTCTCTTCCAGTGCCATTGATGGAATTGACTATATAAATTCAATCTTCAAGAAGACAGATGTCGAAGCTACCCCTGGTTTTGTCCTTATTGTGATTGATGCAAATGCAGGACCATTTTCAGAACTTTCCAGAATGGTATCTGACTTCAGAAGTGGTCTCCGCAATCCTTGTAGGGTTGTTTGGTTAGAGGAGCCTCATATGCGTGGCGTTAATTTCGAAACCATTATTGATGAGGATGTTAGTAATTCAAATGATGTCCCGTTATATAAACCGTTTCATGGTAGTCGTTTATTCCAAGTTATTAGGTTTCTTCCCGAGTATGGTGGTGCATGGAAACACAGTTCTAGTGGAGCAAAGAGAGAAAGAGGAAATGAATTATGTGGAGAAATACAAGAATGTGGAGACTCAAGCAATAATGACAAACCCTTGAGTGGTATGAAATTTTTGGTTGTTGAGGACACTAGAGTTTTGCGCACGATAACTAGGACTATTTTAGAACGGCTTGGTGCTTCTATCGAGGAATGCGAGAATGGTGAACAAGCTCTACGGCTAGTTGAAGAGGGTCTAACTCGGGGTTTTCAAATTCCTCCATATGATTACATCTTAATGGACTGCGAGGTACATAGTAGTAATAATGTTGTTCATTATGATTTCAACTTCTTTCATATTTGGTTATCTCATGGTCTTGTCGGTAATTTCCATTCTTATCATATACGATTTTACTCATTAATCTTATTGCAATTAGTAGTTCATAGTTGATACACTTGGTTCCTTCTTTCATCAGGACTTGTTACTTGTGACATTTTAGTTTATTTAGTTTCCCATTAATAAGATTATAAAAAGAATTGAATTTCCATCTCCTTTTGCTACTTTGCTTTCTGCCGATCATTCATATTTTAAAATGAGACGATATTGTTGAGATTATTATAAACTCTTTTCTCTCATAGCATAACTTGTTGAATATACCTATTTATAAAACTGTATGTTTATGTAAATATAAAAACTGCATGCGTGCTTGATTTGATGTAAGTAACTATTAGATAACTAATACTTCGTGCTACAAACTTGATTAATATTAGCGGTGATTCAACAGATGCCGGTAATGGATGGATACGAGGCAACAAGGCAGATAAGAGAGATGGAGAAGCCCTATGATGTTCATTTTCCTATCATTGCATTAACTGCTAATACAGAGGAATCGACAAAAATATCCATAGAAGCTGGAATGGACCATCACTTGGTCAAACCCATCATTAAAGAGGTGTTACTTGAAGCCATCAGAAGCATACATAGAAAAGAGTGAGAAATATATATATAGGTCTTTCTGTTAATGCCCTATATATATGATCTGTATAAAACCAAATTTAATAGTAGGAGCTATATGATTTTAAGTAGGATTATATAGAGAGTTCCAAAGATATTGGGTGTATATATATAGTTCATTTAGCTAACTTAATTTATTGCAGTGCGCTCGTATTAATTGCATAATTTTGAAGAAGTTGAAACTTGCCTCGAGTGGCAGATATAGGAACAATATGAAACAGAAATGGAGTAAGTCGGTTTGAACTTCTTTTTCCTTCCTATCATATTACTTTGTAAATGATCATATAATTAAAGACATTGGAAACTCTATGAAACAGCCTAAATAATGCAAAATATTGTAGAAAGGATAGAGAAGTTCAAACTGACTGACTTCACTTGCTGGGCTCCATAAATAATTTGTAGTTTCTTAAGGAAATATATGTGATTATAAGGAAAATAAAATATGTAAGTAACAACCTGAATTTCTTGTACAACAGAGGATAATCATTGTTTCATTAAGAAAATAATTTAAATAATTTAAATTATTTTATTACTATTTTTCACAACAGAGGATAATTATGTCATTTTAAAATGGCATGTAGTACCAAATGATGGTAGTTCAGTTGACGCATGGGAGCTGAGCAGGTGGGGTGAAAGTATGTGTTCGAATCCCCCCAGTACCACCTTTGGGAGGGGTTTAAAACCTTAATTCTGGACCCGTCCCGAATCGAATTAGTTGTGAAGCGATGAACCGATTAGAATATTTCAAAAAAAAAAATGGCATGTCGTTATTGAAAACTTCATTATTAAAATAGACATATTTATACAGATAAAATCCTCATTCAAATTAAACATTACATACTTATTTTTTTATAAAAAATAAAGAAACAAATAAGAGATACATCAAAATAAAGTAAACAATTTAAGCCTTTTTTGTGTGGTATGACTAGCATTACCCTTTGGTTATAAATGTCTTAAAATTAATCAAATCAGAATTATTAAAATTAATAATATATAAAAGAGTATAAAATTATGAAACTACCAATTTATATGTATTTCTAAAAGTTTATTTTAAAGAATATTAGAATATGATTACTCTATCCCACCTCATGCTATAAATCTATTCCGTATAACCTTTGTACTAAAATAATATGAAGAAGGTTATACTTACAACCTTTTTTTTATAACCTCTTACAACCATATCTTATCACCGTTGATTTCCGTCAATCAACGGTTATCATTTATTGTGAATTAATAATTAATTAATGAGTTTAATTTGCTAAAATGATAACCGTTGATTGGCGGAAATTAACAGTGATAGGATATGGTTGTAAGAGGTTGTAAGAAAAAAAAGTTGTAACTATAACCTTACTCAAATAATATTAGTATTTTTAAATGGTAATAAACAACAGATTATTTATTAAATTTTACCTAAAAAAAGGCTTACCCCATAGGATAGCTTACACACTCGCTGAAAAACATGAGTGCTGGGTGTTATTAAACCCGACCTGGACATCGACTCGGTCGGGGTACTGGGTTACTGGGTCACTGGTCGGACAGGTTGACCCGGATATATATATATAGATATATAAAAATATATATAAATATAAACATATAAATTCAATTATATTTTTCATATCTAAAATGAATTAAATAAGGTTCATTAAATAAGCTCGAAAACATGAAGCATAAATAAATAAAAATGCATATTATTACTATGTCAATTTAAATTGCAACTCATAATCCGCATAAACATACCTCTTAATGATATTGAACTCATATTTTTCAAATTCAACTACATTAAAAATGACATATATCACAATCTCTTAATTTATTATTTCGCAAATTGCTTCAATATTGGAAGCTGAAATTTGAGGTCATTGTAGACGAGTATACTAGCAAATAAAATTACAAAAAAAAATTAAAATGAGTTCTACATTTTTTTGACAAGATGAAACAATTTTGACTTTTAAATTTTTTTTTTTTAAGTGCATGACCCGACCGGGACACTGGGTCACCAGGTCACCAGATTTGGCCAAGTTTTGACTGGATCGATGCATGACCGGTCCAATACTTGACCCGAACCGGTCTGGTAACCGGGTCACCAGGTTCTGGGTCGACCCGACCGAGTCGGGCCGGGTTTTGCAACAATGCTGACCACGTGCTTATTGTATACTAAGAGTTTTTTTTTTTTTTTTTTTAAACATTATATACTAAGAGATAGAAGGAGACTTGATTCATGGGTAATCACTATATGCAACACTTGTATCACGCTCTATCAAATAAAGCATTATTATATCCTTAGCAATTTCTCTCATCTAGGACTCTTCAAAAGATATGGCGTATAGCCACACATTTTAAGAAGAATAAAATTAATCTTATGTTGTATAAGATAGTATATTTTATGTTGTGAAACAAAATTAAGATGGGATTCATGTTGATTTTTTTCTTTTTCTTTTTTAGTGGGTCTCACCTTGATTTTGTTTCACAACATGAGATAACTATCTTATATAACATAAGATTAGTTTTACCCTTTTAACAATAATCTTAGAAATCCAGGGAATATCTAAAATAATAATAATAATAATAATGTAACTTTGCCACGCAAACTATTGAAGAATGATATTTGCAGACATATCGTCCATATTCTATATAATTATAGAAAAAATTTATGAATATTTTAAATTAATTTATTAAATATTGAAATAATTCTTATTATTAAGAAAATATAATTAGAATAAATTCTATACGTCTATTTTTTTATTAATATTTACAATTCTTATTAATATTTTAATTTTATATGTATACATTCTTTCTATATTAAAATAATATGTATTCTTTCAATTATAGATATATGTATTCTATTAATCTATTAGTGCATGTCTATAAATATAAGAATATTCTTCTGTTAATATTAATAATATTTGTAAAATGTTTAGAATATAATATGAAAAAAATATCCAAATTGAATATTAAATTTTTTCTATTTTTATTCTATTTTTTTCATAATTTTATTTATTATATTTGATTCTATTTGTATTATTATCATATTTATTTTATTTTTTATTTTATTTTTTAAATTTTAAAATGGATCCTATTAAGTATATGAGATAATTAGATTTTAAAAGAGAGAGAGAGAAAAGAACAGTGAGAATTAAACTTACCATAAATATAAACCTTCCAAAAAAAATCCAATTTTTAATTTGACTTATCTATCTATTAAATTACCATAATTAATTTATTCAATTGATATACTTAACTGATTTATAGTTGATATAAAAATAGTAATCAATATCAAAATCAATGTTAATATCAATATCTATATCAATCAATATTTGTAAAATCAATCAATCAAATATATCATATATTTCTCAATTTTTATATTTCAAAATACTCTTTATAAAGAGTAGAGGCATGAGTGTTAGCCTAGCTAGTTTTTCAACTCTGAAGCAAAGGACATCAAAATTACATGGGAGAGGTACGTACATCCTGCTTTGGCATTCCTTCAATTACCTCTTTAATAAGAGTGTATCAAACAGTTAGTGTGCTATTTATTCATGTGATTCATACCTCTGCCCCTTTCTTAAAAATTGTATTAATATTTGGATTTTATGAGTTTATTTTGATTATTATTCTTCAAATATATGTAGTAGTTTTCGAAACAAAAATTAGAAAGAAAGAAGTTTTGAATTTCTGTTTTGCCAATTTGAGATTTTGCACGTGCGTGCGCGTGTGTGTTTGTTTCTAACTGATCACATATATTTTTTTCTTTTTTATGTGTATTGATTACGGGAAATATAAGAATCATGTTGCAGGAATAGCACTATTCATTCCTGCAACAAGGATCCGCTTCCGTATCTTAAGGATACGGCGTCGTATCCTGATTTAGTTTGACTTTTTTTTTTAAGCGTGAGACCCATCTTGATTTATGTGTGCAGGAAAATACTCTACTCATGTCACATGACAAAAAGCGAACCCATTCATTACATACTCAAAACCTGAATGACCTATTATACTCCAAGTACAATGCTTCCTTTTATTTTATTTTTATTATTTTGGAATACTAACGTTTTAGCTTATTTATTTTCTGACTATTCAGATCTCTGGAAACTACATCATCGAAGGGCCAAGCATGGACTTTTAGGGCAAACGCGTCAGAAAAATGGTTTTCATTCTAACTTTATCACTCTTGTTTTGCGAATTAGCAAACATGTTTTCATTATTTATTTATTTATTAGGTTTGGTGTTTATCATTGTAAATGACATAAGTTATGTTATTTTAGAAAAAAAATAGACACAAAAAATAAAAATCATGGGAGAGAGAAAGTAAGTGATTTTTTTTTTTAATTTAAATATTCTAGTTTTAATAATTTCATTAGCCATTTATATTTTTTGTCTTACAACACTTACATTCTAATATGTTGTTGTTTATTATTTTATTATTTCATTTTTTTTTCTTTTAAGAAAGTGACATAATGTTTATTTAGTATGTAGTAATTGCTTATATATTAAAAACAAATTTTTCTAACTCCAATTTTATATATGCTATTACTATTAATTGATTTTTTTTCACCAACCTTGACACAATAATATTGTTGTCTTGTATAATTTTGTTATTCTGTTACTTTCTTTTAAAAACTATCATAATGATAATCTTATATTTAATGTATTATTTTAATTTTAAATAATTTTAAATTCTCATGACAATTTTATTATTTGCTATCACTAATATAACATGCATGATAAGTAATATCTGTCTTACCTACACTTCCACATTTTTGTTTTTTATTTCATTATTTCATTCATTCTTTTAAAGTAAATATGTATTTAATGATATTATTAAATGTATCTCATGGAGAGCGTTTTTAATGCAACAGTCGCGCTGAGTACTGCTACGATTGTGCTAAAATTATTTCCGTATCTTATGGTTTATATCTCATCCATGGATTTCATCACTTCATTTTTTCTGTATTTACTTAACGTGGCATGACTCTAATTTACTTTCTTTCTATACATTTAGGACTCTTGAATAATATACTTGATGCAAGCAAAATTGAAGCAGGGAAAATGCGTCTTGAGGAAGAGGAATTTGATATATTCCAACTCCTAGAAGAAGTAGTTGATTTATACCATCCCGTGGCTATGAAGAAAGGAGTAGATCTCGTATTAGACCCTTGTAATGGTTCTCTACTGAGATATTCACGTGTGAAAGGCGACAGAGGAAAACTCAAACAAGTTTTTTCCAATTTACTGAGCAATGCTATCAAATTTACTGATGAGGGGTACATAGCAGTTCGGGCATGGGCTCAAAAGAGCTCAATAATCACTACTAACAGAAACAGCTTCAGGAGACATTTGTCACGCTTATTTTATAGGAAAAATGAGGCACATCGTAACCAAGAATCCATGAATTCAATGCAACAAGATCCGAGTTATATGAATTTTACTTTTGAAGTGGATGATACAGGCAAAGGAATTCCTAAAGAGAAGTACAAATCTATATTTGAGAATTATGTCCAAGTCAAAGAAACTGCTCTTGGTCAAGGAGGAACTGGCTTAGGACTTGGTATTGTGCAGTCCTTGGTACGTTGGGGAAGGATTCGGTTACAATTTTCTTTTACGAAATTACACTTACCAGTCACAACATAGTGTAGTTTGTAAGAGTTTATAAATAAAAAGTTTGTAAATATAATATTTGTAAATAAAAAGTCAAAGAAAACCTCAACTACAAAACTTGAGACAAAAATAATGCTCGGAACAAGGGTACTAAGTACTTCGACAACCACAAAACTGTCCAACTAAACAAGTTCAAATTTGTTTGAAACTATCTTCTGTGGAACAAGCTTTGCTCTCACAGAAGAAAAAAAGTTTATGGTGTTAGTGTTCAGCTTATAAACTGCTTGTTTCTCAATAATTTAATTTTGTTCAGCCATCAAGAATAGACAACAGAAAATAAAGGACTACACGTACACCCAATGATCTACTCTCAAAGTCTACAGTTATAACACAAATCAAGAAATATAGTATATAAATACACAATACGTATGTGTGTGAGAGAGAAAGAGAGAGAGAGAGAAAGAGAGAGAGAGAGAGAGACCGCGATGTCAGATGTCCACAAAGTCAGATTGTCTCACAGAAGTTGCATGATCAATGTACTGTCCTTGTATGACTCTTCACCCAATGTGTCAAGCTCGGAAATTGCCTCATCAAATGCCTGCCATAATTAAGCATTTTACATAAATCACTAAAGAGAAGAGGAAGGAAAGTAAGGGAGAATGAAAAAGTAAAACATCATAGAGTCTTTTAGACCCATCATAACAGGACATGGGAAGCGCTAGATAACTGTCTAAATGATACATCAACCTTGTCAAATTACAGAAGAGAAAACTGAATAAGGAATGTACACTATTGAAATTCGTAACACAATGCTCAGTTCAATCTCTTAAATAAGAACTAAATTCATACAATTTTGGAATAATAGCGCCTCAGTTTGGAGGGTTAACTGTTTAAACAACATCAAATTCCCGACACTAATTTGGCAAGAAGCAAGTAAACCGATTTTCTACTCCTTTTTTTTCTCAAAATAAACAGAGCACACAAGGAGAAATTTGACAAGCTTTCTTAACTCTAATATTCCTAACATAGCCAAGGGTGACATAAACCAATAGAAATCATAGTTCTTATCATTTAATCATGGCCAAAACAGAATTTTTATTCCATTAAAATCCGGATTGGTCGGCCTACGTTTTTGTATACAACATGCCATCATCTCACTAGAGTTCTCTTGAGTTATAGTGTCTTACATTACATACAATTCAGAACTAAGGTCCAAGTAGGAATATAATTCTATCAAGTCTAGTTCCTAGGGTTCCATCACTATCAACAAGTCATATTCATAACACTAATTGGTTAAAAAATAATCGAGGTCATAAATAATCATAAAGAAGTTTGGTTCTCATAATCATAGCTTAAAAAATTTAAACTTTTTAGTCATGTGATACGACATTGTTGGATGATAATATAGAATACATAACCAAGAAACATGTTTTAATTTTGAGAACGCAGAGATATAGACTCCTTTAATTTAAACTTTTTTGTATACTTTTTTGTTCAGCAGAGATATAGACTCCTTTAATGATGAACTTAATAAGTTATGTCACACACCTATTGATGAGAAAGTGCAACCAGATTCCCAAATTCATTTTTTAGTCATTGGCTTTGCTTTCACTAATATGTAGCAAAGATAATTATAGAAATATTTAGAACAAGGAAGACTTAAACAAGCAACTATGTATTATAAAGTCACCAAAATCAGTTTATTTTATTTATGGTCAAGGGTCCTTCCAAGTCCATACTTGAGCACTGCCTTGTTGCCCTGTCTGAATCCCTCTCCATAAGTTGATGAGCTATCTGTCTCAATCTCTGCATCAACACACCCTAGTTTTATTACCTTAGATTACATTGAATTAATATTTTTAAGGCTCAATCTCCATAAGAATAACATAATTCATGCTCAAGTTGATGAGCTATCTGTCTCAATCCTGCGGAGCAAAGCACTCAGCCACCTCTTGAACCTCCTAAGCAAGATTACATTCATGTTCGAGCTAGAAGGGGTCAAGCTACTGATAGCCACAGTCTTGCAGAACGAGTAACTTACTCCCCCTTTTGAACTCTGTTATGTTTTTATTTCATTTGATGTTATAGTTTTACCATTTTTTTATGTTAATTTAAGGAGAACTTGAATTTATGGATCTGTTGCAATTAGTGTCGTTGACTATGAATATGTCCAGCTGAAATTACTATCCTTTCTAATTTCTAATAACAACTCCATGTAAAATTAAGTTCTAATGTCGATGTGCATTGTTCATAGATTTTGATAATATTAGGGGGGAAAAAACTCTACACTAACCATAATAATATAATGAACTTTTTATTTATTTAAAATCAGCAAGTTTCAAGAGAATAAACTAAAACGAACATATACCGGTATAGCTGCAGAAGTCACTTTAGTCCCATCCATGGATACTACTCCTTGCAGAGATGTCATATATCTGCTAATGAGAAAAGAGTCACACCCCAAGAGAAAAGCAGTATTCCGACTAAATACTACAAATACCCAAAAGAACAGAGAATAGATAAGAATTAATCTAGCCATACCCCATGGGAGGAAGCCCGCCAGGCCAACTGGGAACAGACAATGGAAGAGGCACGAAAGTGGATAAAACTGTAAGAAGAAAAAAAAAATGACACAAGCCACCGTTATCATTAAAAGATGGAGAAAGAAAGCAAATAGAACAAGTATTTTCATTTTTCAACTTCAAAATTGAACAAACCATTTTTCTCTGGGTTAGGCTGTTGCTGCTGCCTCTGAATGCTGTTTTGATGTTGCCTCTTGCTAACTAAGCTGCCATTTCCACCCTATTAGCTTTCTAAATGGCTAAAGCAAATAGCCATGTTGGTTCACATGGCTCACACAATTGGATTTTACTCGTTGGAAGTAGGCAAAAATAAATAAATAAAATTGGTCACTAGCTAATGGAACACAACCGAATGAAATATAAGTCCCAATGCGAGCATAATTAACTTGTACGAAAGTGTATCCACCCTATTAGCCTTCTCCACATCAAGCTGCAAGACGGTACCTCTTTCCTTCCGCATGATGGCCGGTTTATGAGACTGATCAGCTTTGTCCATTTTGACGGCTGCAACCTCTTCCTTACTCATTCTCAGCGATTTATCATCTTCCTTCGTCACAAGCTTAACTTCCTGTATAAACCAGGCACAGATATTTAAGTACTTATCAGCCAGCAACGAAGAAAGGGCTACAGATGCACGCCATGGCCCACTTACCATTTCAGGGTCTATAAACATAAAAATTGAAATATAACAAATTAACCAAGAAACATGTTTTAATTTTGAGAACGCAGATCTATCGTCAAAGGCATTTCAATATCGACTGGATCTAAATTACCACACTGTATCAACAAAAAAAACAACTCCAGGGGACCACAAATAAGCGAGTCTTAGTTCCAACAAAATACATGATCGAGATTTAATCGAAACCAAAAAAAATTTAGACAAACTTCAATCAAGTTTAAACGATTATCACAAACAAAATATATTAGACCTTAAGAGGAAGACAAGAGGAACTATAATCAGATGTTACCTGGTCCGAATTTGGGGTTTCGATACGTCTCAGACTAGGTGAACGATTGAAACCCTAAATTGGATAAGCTGAAATCATGAGCTTTTGGTTATTGCTGATGAACAGATTCCTTCCCTCGACTTGCTGTATACGCTCTCCTTGTGAAGCGAGAAACCACTATGGTCAAATCTAGAAGATTTTAAGAGAGAGAAAATAAATTAGGTTAGGAATTCAAAGATCTAGAAAATAAATCTGATTATGATTTTCAGAGAGAGAAAATAGATATGGTTAGGGATTTAAAGAGTGAAAATGGATCTGGTTAGGGATAACCTTCTAACCAACCACCGCTACTTCGTCATTCATTATATGTCTTCATAAAGCCAATTACTGATTCTTCATTTATGATTCTAGATCAACGACGATTTTACCATCCGCCTTGAACGCACCGCCACCAAAATGCGATTTTCCTGTAGTGCTTGGTCGAGGAGGAACTGGCTTAGGACTTGGTATCGTGCAGTCCTTGGTAGGTACCCAATTATATATTTATTGGAAAAAAAAATATACAAACTTTTGTTCTTTTAGGTGACTTACACAAAGTCTGATCGGTGTAAATCTAAAAAGTTACTTTTTTTCACTCTCTCCTCAGTCACATCACAAAGTCTGACAAATCAAACTTTGTGTAAGTCACTAAAAAGACACAACTTGTATACATTTAAAGTACATCACTGATCTTATAGGTTCACTTTGCGACAAATTAACTCCCTTAATAAATTAATAACTCATATAATTTTCTCTCTATAGGTACGTTTGATGCATGGAGATGTTGGAATAGTGGACAAGGATATTGGTGAAAAAGGAACATGCTTTAGGTTCAATGTGGTCCTTACTGCATGTGAGACAGGGACGGATGGTAGCACAAGAGAAGGCCAGTTTGTATCAGGTGACAGAACAATTCACACTAATAGTTCTACTTCAAGCACTTATTCCATGACTACTCCTAGGTTACTTAATCGAAGCCCTAGTCCTAGACCTGAGGCTTCTAGAGTTGTTCTTTTGATTCAAGGCGAGGAGCGCCAAAGGACTACACAAAGGTTCATGGAGAGTTTAGGGATCAAAGTTAAGGTTGTGATACATTTGGAAGATCTTTCTGACACTCTCATGAATATCAAACAAAAGGGGAAGGGGAACCATTCCCAATAGCCAAAGTTGTTCTCCGTTTGCATCTCATAACTCATATGTTGGGTGTATATATATAGTTCATTTAGCTAACTTAATTTATTGCAGTGCGCTCGTATTAATTGCATAATTTTGAAGAAGTTGAAACTTGCCTCGAGTGGCAGATATAGGAACAATATGAAACAGAAATGGAGTAAGTCGGTTTGAACTTCTTTTTCCTTCCTATCATATTACTTTGTAAATGATCATATAATTAAAGACATTGGAAACTCTATGAAACAGCCTAAATAATGCAAAATATTGTAGAAAGGATAGAGAAGTTCAAACTGACTGACTTCACTTGCTGGGCTCCATAAATAATTTGTAGTTTTTTGAAAACATACCAAATACTTCCTATCATTTATGATTTATTGAATCACAGTACATATAATGAAATTTACTACCAAAAAGCCAGCAACAACATTATGTTGAATAATAATAAACTTGCTTGAAATCTATCGCTTACTAATTATTTCATCCAAATATCTTTAGGAGTTGTTTTGCCAAATTTCTAAATAAATTTATTCTAGAGTACTCCGTGAGCGTTCTAGAAATTGAATGACCTACCTACCATCATTATTGTTTAGATTAGAAGGTTGTGGAAAATTCTAGAATATCATTTATACTTTTTAGATGAGAAATATGTTGGCATAATTTTAACCATTAGTTAAGGAGGTGTCTATAATGTAAATAGATGTAATTTTCATCATTTTGTATCAAACCAAAGAAAATAATAGAGTAAAAATAAAAATAAGGAAATATATGCGATTATAAGAAAAATAAAATATGTAAGTGACAACCTGAATTTCTTGTACAACAGAGGATAATCGGTGTTTCATTAAAAAAATAATTTAAATAATTTAAATTATTTTATTATTATTTTTCACAACAGAGGATAATTATGTCATTTTAAAATGGCATGTCGTTATTGAAAACTTCATTATATATATATATATTGGTTGAAAAAATAGATATATTTATACAGATAAAATCGTCATTCAAATTAAACATTACATACTTATTTTTTTACTTTGTTTTTTTTTTTTTTTTATAAAAAATAAAGAAACAAATGAGAGATACACTCAAAATAAAGTAAACAATTTAAGCCTTTTTTGTGTGGTGTGACTAGCATTACCCTTTGGTTATAAATGTCTTAAAATTAATCAAATCAGAATTATTAATTTTATATTATATAAAAGAGTATAAAATTATGAAACTACCAATTTATATGTAGTTCTAAAAGTTTATTTTTAAAGAATATTAGAATAGAATCACTCTATCCCACCTCATGCTATAAATCTATTCCGTATAACCTTTGTACTAAAATAATATTAGTATTCTTAAACGGTAATAAACAACAAATTATTTATAATTAAATTTTACCTAAAAAAAAAAACCTTACCCCATAGGATAGCTTAGACACTCCCTGAAAAACATGAGTGCTGACCACGTGCTTATTGTTTACTAAGAGATTTTTTTATTTTTTATTTTTTATTTTTGGTAACATAGAAGGAAAAAAAAACTCCAAAAAACAATCAAGTCAACACAATCCTACGAAAATTACAAACCAAAGAGAAGTCTTCCAAATACAAAGGCAAAATAGCAGGGGGAGGAGAAGGAAAAAAGCATAAGTTACTCTCCATATATGGGTACTTGGAGAGTCAGTCAGCGCAACTATTACATTCTCTGTATGCATGTACTAAATGAATCTCCCAATCTTTTTGTAACCAAGCTCGAATGCGAGTCACCAAACGAGGCTCTCGAGCTACTCTACCATTCTTGGTGAGTAAAGTGATAACTGAACTAGAATCACTTTCTAATAAGCATCAACCACCAGTCCAAGCTGCTTCAAGACCTTTAAGGATGCCCCATGGTTCAGCAACAAAAGCTGAACATTGACCTATATTATAAGCCAAGCCCTGAAAGCCATCGGCCTGATTCGTCCCTGATGACCGCACCATAAGCAGCCCCACCACCAGCATTCCTAGCTGCCCTATTAGTATTTATTTTTATCCAACCTGTTTTCGGGGGAATCCAACAAACAGAAATAAATTCATGAGTCCTTCTAGACTTTACTCCATAACAACTTGACCAAGCTTGAGTGTACTCCTTAACTTTCTGTGCTATAGTTTCAGTTTTATAAGAGTACCAATCAAATGCACCACCATGGATAATATTATTTCTCCAAATCCAAGCATGCCAAACAGTCACAGTAAACACTAAGGACCAGGAAGCATTAAATATCCTCAACGAATCAATTCTCAAATTCAACGATAGCCAACTTTCAAGATCAGCAGTAAAGAACTCACTTACCAGATCAGGCCATAAAAGATCTAACCAGACGTTTCTGATTCTTCTACAATCTCTGGCCATGTGTAATATGGACTCCTCACACCGTTACACAGCGGACAGGTAGCATCAGACAGATTTAGTGTTGACAGCATCTTCCTGGTTGGCAACCGGTTGTGTGTTGTCTTCCACATAAAAAAACTGATTCTGTTTGGCCCTTGGAATTTCCAAATCTGAGACCACACGTTCTTCACTTGAGAGATTTCCTCCGATTGATTTGCCAAAGCATTATACAACTGCTTGACTGTTACCCCACTAGAACCAGGAAGATCCCACAATAATCTATTAGGCCCATTAGATACATGAGGTGGAAGATGGCTTCTAATTACCTGAATTGTTTCTTGTGGAAGGCAGTTGGACAATTCTCTGCAATCCTAAGATCCATCCTCTGTCACAAATTCCATAACCTTTCTACCAAAGCTTACCTGGGGAATAGGAGCAGTAGCTTTACTAGCTAAATTACCTTATGATCTAACCAATTATCCTCCCAAAAATCTATAATAGATCTGTCCCCAACATCCCAAATCAATCTTGGTTTCAGCTTATGCCATATAGCACACATGAATTTCCACAACCGAGAATGGCCAGTCTTCGAAGTGAATCCCTCATGAACATTATCTGTATGGATATACTTAGCCTTCAAGACTTTTTCCCAAAGCTGATCTGGTTCATTCAGGAAACTCCAAATTAATTTTTCCAAAAAAGCTTCATTCATGATAGTCATCTTTCTAAGACCCAAACCACCTGAACTTTTTGGCTTAGTAATAGTATCCCAACTGATAAGATGCATGTGCTTTTTATTCATCGAGTCACCCCAAATAAAAGACCTCTGAAGATGTTCCAGTTCATTGCAGATCGTTTTGGGAAGCATGTTGCTTTGCATATTATAATATGGAATAGTGGACAAAACTGATTGTGCCAAGGTCACTCTGCCTGCTTGAGAAAGAGACTGAGCTTGCCAACTATTCAATCTCTCTTTCACTCTATCAACAATTCTAGCAAACAGATTTTTAGTCACCCTCCCATGATTGATCATTGCTCCAAGATACTTACCAATATTTGAAACTCGCTTAAAACCACTCACTTCTGTGATTTTATTAGCTACATCCTCAGGAGTGTTTTTAGAAAAATACACACTGGTTTTCTGATCACTAACCTTTTGACCAGATATTTCACTGAACAAATTCAGACAACGGAGAAGGATATGCAATTGCTCCTCACTAGCTTCCAAGAATAACATAAGATCATCAGCAAATAATAAATGAGAAATTTTTGGTCCACTCTTCCCAGCTTTTATTAGTTTTCACAACCCTCCATTGACAGTAGTGTCTATAATATGAGTAAGTTTCTCCATAGCAAGGACAAAGAGATAAGGAGACAAGAGGTCTCCCTGTTGATGCCTCTACTAGGCTGGAATTCATCCAACAAACTACCATTCCAAACCACACTGGTTTTAGGGGAGGTCACAACTGACATTATGAGCTTAGATAAACATTCAGGAATCTAAATTTCTTCCAATACTAGTCGAATGAAATTCCAATCGAGACGATCGTAAGCCTTCTCAAGGTCCACCTTTACTGCATAAAACACCTCTTCCCTCTCATTTTCCTCATAGAATGAACTAACTCCTGAACAATAATAATGTTATCCTGGATATGCCGTTGAGGTACGAAACTAGTTTGAGCAGGAGAAATAACTTTTGCCATAATTGGTTTTAAACGGCTAACAATTAATTTGCTGATAACTTTGTAAATCACAGGGCAAAGGGAAATCGGCCGGAATTGGCTGATATAAACAGGCATCTGGATTTTGGGGATCAAAATAAGAAGAGTAGAGTTTATAGATGCTAGAAGCTCAGGATAATTCCAGATTTGATGGACTATTGAACAGAGTTGAGTTTTAACCATCTCCCAATTTTTCTGATAAAAAATCGCAGGGAATCCATCAGTACTTGGAGC